ACGTCTCATCTTGTTACAGAGACACCTGCTCAACTATGTCCACCAATGTTCTATTCATAATAGTCAGAAATTGGAAACAGCGTAGATGTTTCTCAACAGAAGAATGGGCAAAGAAAAAGCAGTATTTACACAACGGAATACCACTCAGCTGTTAAGCAAAAATATATATAATAAAAATAAAAACCAAATCACGAAACTCTCAGGAAAATGGGTAGAACCAGAAAGAAAAATTATCTGAGTTGAGGTAAGAAAGACAAATATGGCATATAGTCATTTATGTGTGGATATTTGCTGTTAATGACTACCAAGCTGCAATCCACAGAAGCACAGAGGGTAGAGAGGGAGGTGGGGGGGGCACGAGGGTGTGGCAGATAGAGCTCTCTAGGAAAGGGAAATAAAGGTTATGGATGATGGGAAAGGCTGGAATGGGAGGATCAAGTAAAGGGGAGGAAAACGAGGGGCAAGAGAGGGAATATGGGGGAGAGACAACTAAAATTAAGGGTTTTCTAAGGGGTACTGAGGAAACCTAATACAGTAGAAGCCTCCTAAAATACATACACATAAAAAGGCAATCTAAATGAAGTCACCAAATAATGGGATATAGAGTCCCAACTGACCATCTCTTGTCACCAATGAAACTTACAGTACTGGGACTGGGTCACATCTAATTGAGTTGGCCAAAAGGGTCCCATAAGGACCCCTCAAACAATACAGAGCGCTGCCAAGACTTTAGCTTGCTTTCCACAACAGATGGCAAGGCCCCACTGCTAAAGACAACACCTACAAAGCTCACTGACATTGGAGAGGTCCAGTTGGTGCCTACATAGAGCCTTCACCCCACAATCTACTGTCCTTGTAGGGTAAAATAGGAAGGCATCTGCACACTGCCAAAGGAGAAGGGTAAACACCAACCCAGCCACAAACCTTTGGATCTACAACAGTGCCCTGCCTGCAAGATTTGCTAGGGCAATGGTGACACAAAGCTTATGGGAGTAACCGACCAATATCTGTTATTTAAGACCAAGAACCTGAGACCAGACATTCTGCTACATTCATACATCAATACCTTGTTCAGCCATGATCAGAGCTTATTCCTGCAGCACATGGAAACAAAAAGAGACCCACAGCCAGACACTAGCAGTGAGAGAGACCTTGGAACACTCAGTCCTAAAACTTGGTGTCTTTATTAAATCCCTCCCCTCAGGGGTTAGGGAACCCTGCAGAAAATGATGCAGTGTAAGACCCAGAGAGGACGGAGGACACCAAGATAGTCCCTCCCTCCAAAGCAACAGGCTCAACACTCATGAACTCCGAGAGACTGAGGCAGCATGCACAAGGCCTGAACACTCTTCTGCAGCAGGTGGGGCACTAGTGCTGAAGGACATGGACACGTGTCCCCATCTCGAACACAGAGGCAATCTCTAATTGATAATCACCTGCAGACGAAAGCGTAGTTTCCCCCCAGGGCATCTCGCTGCAGGAAGAGCAGATGGACAACAGAAAACTCATGGCATCTTTGGCTGTCTCATCTCACAATGCTGGGTCAGGGATTTTTCTGTTTATTTAACCTTACTGGTTTGTATTTTATTTTTTTATTTTTACCCCACAAGTCTGGGATTGCAGAAGAATATTTGAACAAGTTGATCTATTCTGTTACTTGTCCCTTCTCATGGACTCTTTCCCTTCTGTTTTTGTAATTCTGACGCTTGTTTTATGTTTTATTATTATACTATTATCTCTTAGAAGCCTGGTTGTTTTCTAAGGAGAAGCAGAAACAGAGTAGATCAGGTAGGAGGGGAGATGGGAGGAACTAGGGGTAAAGGGAAAACAAAATAAAGATTTATTATGGGGGGGATTACAACTATTTTCAATAAAAGGAAAAAATGAAAAAAATTAAAGATTAAAATGTGGATGATGAGTGAAGGTCTGCTTCTGCTGGTTGAATAATAAACTATTTTGCTTGCTTAAGGATGCTGGGCTGATGTGGGATTCCCCTCTGCAGGCTATGAAGATTTCATTGCCATTGGTTATCAAAGAAGCTGTTTTGGCCAATGGCTTAGTAAAGCCAGGCAAAAAATCCAAACAGAGATATAGAGAGAAAGTAGGTGGAGTCAAAGAGATGCTATGTAGCTGTGGAAGGAGAATGCCGACAGCCAGAACCTTACCAATAGGCCACAGCCTCGTGATGATTTACAGATTAATAGAAATGGGTTAATTTAAGATGTAAGAGTTAGGTAGAAACATGCCTAAGCTATTTGTCAGACAGCATTGTAGTTAATATAGTTTCGGGTCTGAGCGGGCAGGAAACGAATTAGCAGCCTCCATCAAAATAAGGATGTGTTACGGGGGTGGGGACACACACATACAAAAGAAAAAAATCTAAAAAAATGTGGGTGAATGAGTGGAGTGGAAGGTCTGCTTCTCTGTTGGTTAAATAATAAACAATCTTGCTTGCTTAAGGATGCTGGACCAGTGTTCTCATGTGTGGTGAAGACCAAACGTTCTTGAAGGGAAAACAAAGTATGTATTTCCTTCCCTTTGGTTGGTCTGGATAACAAGAAAATAACTCAGGTCTAGAATGGAAGCAGAACAACCTGCCACAACTTCCCACCATAGTCTCTATATGCTGGGCCACTTAACACACATAAGTGTACTATACATGAGGTCTTTAGAGACCATCTATAAGCCATAAACTGATATATCCTATGGTCATCCTATCCTCTAAAATAATACTTATGTGCTATAATATACAATGTAATTCAAAACAAGTCCCTACCCCAACTACTGCCTGTGGACTATTTCTTTTGAGTAAATTTCCAAAAGTGGAATTAGTATTCTTGAATTTTGTGACAACTCGAGCTGATGTTTATCCAAAATGGCGGTGGTAGCCTTGGGAGTCTGTGTGGGAGAGCTGTGAATTTCCTACCAACTAGGAAGGAGACAGAGCAGGATGTTCTAGCAAGAGGGCGGCCTTCTAAAAAGAAGGGTGTAACTGTGACAAATGAATGTGGTGTGTCTACATTAACTCTGTGGGAAAGGCGACAGCCCTGAGAAGATTTCTTGGCTCTTTCATAAGACCAAAAATGGTAAGGCATAATAAATAGCAGGTGTGTTCCTCTCTATACTTGTTTACTTAAGCTAACCGTAAACATCACCTCATTTGCTTGCGTTAATAAAAACAAGGGGCTGGAGAGATGGCCCAGAGGTTAAGAGCATCAGCTGCTTTTCCATAGGATTCTGGTTCGACTCTTGGCACCCACATGGCAGCACACAACTGTCCTTAACTACAATTCCAGGGGATCCGAAGCCTTCTTGTGGATTCTGCAGGCAATGCATACATACATACATACATACATACATACACACACACACACACACACACACACACACACACACACAAGGAAAACACCCATATGCATAAAATAATAAAAAATATGAAGGGGGCTGGAGAGATGACCCCACAGATAAGAATACAGCACTGGCTGTTCTTCCAGAAGACCTGGGTTCCATTCTTAACACCCACAGGGTGGCTCACAACCACCTGTAATCTCATTTCCTGGGGAACTGATGTCCTCTTTTGGCTTTTGTGGGCACCAGGTATGCATGTGGCAGATACACAGACTACTTGCAGGTAAAATAACCACACACACACAAAGAAGAAAGTACCCTAGGAGGAAGTTTCCAGTTTTTGACAATATGTTCATTCTTATACAGTACAAAAGCTATAGCTGTGTTCTATGAAGTTGAAGATTAGCAATATAATTTAAGGCCTAGATACAAAATCTCACAGTCAGTGGTTAAAAGGTGTCTTTCACACAATCAGAAGCATAAAGCAAATTTAGAAAATAATTTGGAACGGGTCTATCTGCCCTCCACAACGACTACCAACTTGCTAACTAGGCATTAAAATGTGTGAGGAATGCACAGATGTTAAAGTTGTTTAAATACTTGGCCCCCAATTGGTGGTAATGTTAGGCAAGAATTAGGATGTGTGACCTTGCTGGAGGTGCATCACTGAGGTTTCAAAACATGCTATTCCCAGTTAGGGCTCGCACTCTGCCTCCTGCTTGTGGGTCAAAATAGTTCTCGGCTACTTCTCCAGCATCATGCCTGCCTGTGGCCATGCTCCCCACCATGACAGTCTAGGCCTCTAACGCTCTGAACTCCCTTCGGGAAGTTGGCCTCACTGTGGTGTCTTATCACACACAAAAACGCAGCTAGGAGAGCCGACGTGCTTTCCTCCTTGTACTGTGATGAAAGCTGCATTCTCAGGTACAGGAGGCCAGAGCAGCCAAAAGTCTAGACCGAGGAATATGATTCCCATTTCAGTTTGGAATAATGACAGCAGCAAGCGAATGGACCGTGCTGCTAATTACTTGACTCTTCCACCTGCTAATTTAATACCCTGGGCATGTTAATTTTCTTATTTTCCATCCATAAAATGGACTGAATGTAATTTTTATGCAGCAGAGTCCAAAAATATTTCAACAATAGAATAGAGGTGGTTATAGTGCACACACATGCAGAAACACATTCAGACTAATGTCAGGAAAGAGCTAAGTCGCATTCCTAAAATACCAAAGTACCCAGAGAGAAATCAAAACTTACTATTTTAAGGACTCTAACTTAAAATACAATTTCCCAGTTTATATGGAAACATTTTAATAATAGTGAAATCTGAAAATCAGTCATTATTAATGAGGCACACTGGCTAAAGACTATGATTTTTGCAACCACAGAAAACCTTTGACAGTACAAAGCTTTTAATCTCTCTGATGAGCTCTGACTACTGGATATTACTCACTATGCTGAATAATACAAGCATCTTAGCATACATAATCTTAACTCGCCCTCCTGGAGGCATCAGATCAGAAAGGAAAGGGAACTTATAATAAGCAGTTGAGTTTCTAAGTGAGTCCAGATAGTAATAAGAATTCAAACATAATTCTTTTTGGATGTTTAAATAAAACAAACTTTACATTTTATTAAACCAGCAGATATAACCACTTAGATATAATTTTATTAGCAAAAAATGATGATATTGATAATAAAAAATGAAAGGAAAAAGGAGAATGCACCTCAAACCAGAATACCATAACATGTTTTGTGGAAGCTGCATTTTATTTGAAAATCCACCCATTTGCTAACATACATTTTAATATTGTAAACAAAAATAGAATCTGCAGAGACAATGCAACAAGTATGCTTAACTCATGTACAGAATTGCTTTCCTACAATGAACTGTCCTTCTTAAGGCCCCTCTCCACCCAAGCGTTAGGATGTATGTACAGAAAGCACCGATCAACAGTGCATTTTAATTCTTCATTAACTAAACTCTTGGCTAGACACTGAATTTAAAGATACTATCTCCCCTTATTTAAAAGGTACATGATCATAACATGGCACAAGCCAAATAAAAAGTTCAAGGATTTTTGTCCCCTCCCTTTCCCCATAACATCTCCTAAAGTTTACTGAAAAGAAGGAAAGTCTTGAAGTGAAAGCAATTCCTCACATTCATTTTGGAAAGGCCCTACTGTCCAATGGAATAGAATGACATGCCAAGCACGAAGCAGTATAGATCCTTCCCAATGCACTAATGCTGAATTTTAAATGTAGTGCTTTTCCTAGTCAGTGAACTGTTCCCTTGCAAAATCCTAGGCACAGAATTGACTATAAGGATTAATGCATTTATAATGCTTCCCTAAATCCCATAGAGACTGAGAATTCTTAAGAGATTCAGACCCATGGTTTTGCCTTAAAATATTTAGTGCTCTGTATGTCAGCTGAAAAGCATTCTGAATCAGATTCATTCTTGTGGACAAAAATCAAACATACTGTGAACGTCCATACTCATTTTTTTAAGGAGGTTTGATATAATATTAATGTTATGTAAAATTGATAATCATAAATAAATACAAATACTTAAGGAATGTCTACTGCAAACTGAATATAATTTTTTTTTAAAAAAAAGCTCACTTCAATTATGGTTTCTGTATTTGTGAGGACTGGAGGAAAGAAATATAATGCATAATTAAAAATTATGATTTTGATCCCCACTGAGTCCTGTTGAATTATGGTAAAGGACACAACTCTTTTCTCCAGGCAGCTTTTCCAAACACACACTCCACACTTTCCAAGTACGGGCTTTTCTTGGTTGGTTACTGATTATGGGTATTAATAGGAGTTGAAAGAACTGAAGTGTTAGTCACCAGAAAGACAGATCTTAGTCTTAAATCATGGCAATTCTTGGCTTTATAAACGATATTGACAAGGCTCTCCTAGAAACTAGTCCCATCCCTGCTGTGGGCCTTCATGGGTTACTGGAGCGCTCTAATGGAGGAAGAGTTTCAGAGACAGCAGTTTGGATTTTGCTGGAAGTAAGGAGTTGCCACCTCGAACTTGTGTTCATGGAATAATTCCATTCTCCTCCGTGTAGTTACATAAACTGTATCTGGAAAAAAAAAGCCATGGTCTAAGTTAATTCACTGTATTACAGGAAAAATCACAGATAAAAACACTTTCTGCCTTCACCATTCAACCAGCCTAAAAATGTTCTTAACATGCTCATCACAGACCCTGATGACACAGAAAGTCTCACCACCTTCCTGTGTCCCAGTACTCAATCCATGAACCATACTGTAGGGACTCCTAATTAACTATTTAAAAGCAGGAAGGAGTGGAGGCTAGGGGAGAAAACCAATGAACTATTTTTCCTTAAGTTAAAAATATTTATCCATAAGCACAAATGCCCTATGTAACTCATTTGGGAAAGCAAAATATAAAATACTTTTAAAATACATATAATTAGAGAATAAAAGGCAGTGTTGTTTGTACTGATTCAATTATTTACTAATATAACTAAGACCCTGAAGCATCTATAAAGAAACACGTTTCAGTCAGGAGTCACTATTCACCCATTCCTCTTCAACTGCCTATGCACAGCTAAGACTGAGGTAGATGTGCCAGCCAAATAAAACCATCAACTGCTAAAGACCTAGACAGGAAATGTGAACTGGGGCTAGAGCATCAGCAACAACAATTAACTGTCTTCTAGAAGATATAGGTGGGGGGATCATATACACAGATCCTTGTATTCAAAACCTAAGTATTCGTTTGCCCTTAAATAAAAAACAAGCTATAGCCGGGAGGCAGAAGCAGATGATCTCTGTGAGTTTGATGCCAGCGTGGTCTACAGAGTTCCAGGACAGTCAGCATTACACAGAGAGACTGTCTCAAAAAACCAAAACCAAAAAACCCAAACCAAACCCAAGGGGGAAAAAAAAATTGTATTTTTAGGTTACTATCAAGGAACACATAAAGTGAAACTCTCTGATGAAATTATACAAATGTATTTTTATCATTAGCCATAGCTGTTACACTGAAACTAAAGCTATTCCTCACCAAGACTTAATGCACTGTGTACAACTGGGGCATTCTCTACAATTCTCTTAGGATGGACTCAAACACATCTGTAAGGGTGATATGTGATTCCAGCCATCAGCTGTGAATAGTGGATGCTTCTTTGTTAAGATGTCCCTTGACCTCACACATCCAGTACGTCAAGCTATGTTCCAAAGGCAGTTTCTTTTGTCCTATCTCAAACTAGTTTTATTCTTCACTTAAAGAACAGAAGAGGAGGAGACAGTTGAGGCCCAGAGGGAATGCAGGCTCCTTTAAATAAACAAAGAAGAAGAAGGGTGCACTGTGTTCAGTGCTGGCAATCTTTGTTTCCACGCCCCCATCTCCCCCACACGCAGCAATACCTAAGTGACTTATAAGAAGTCCTCCAGAGAAAGCTCTGCAAAGGGGTCCTTTCCTGCAGCTCTGTGAGGACTGTGCCTGGAGGGGCTGGATGCTGCCGACAGCTGGGGGAAAGAAGACAGAGACAGGGGAGAAAAAGATCTCAGAATGACAGAACATGAGAGTAGAAAGTGTAATGAAGGAAGAGGTGGTTTTTGCTTTGTCACCTTTAATAAATTAAAGGCAGCCTTTGTAGAAAATGGGATTATTTAAAATGCTATTGCATGTCAAGTTAAAAGATATCCAATGGCATGTGTTTTCCAGAAAACAAATGTGCACCTCTGAAACATAAAATGAAAGTCTTTATCCATAAAAGCTGGTTATCAGTCAAGACTTCTAGTGTAGGGGGAGAAAGGGAGTGGGGAGTATAGGAGATAGGATGCATAATTGTGTTTAAAAAAATAGCCTTCCTATGTCCAGACATATGTCCACAGTGGTCCAAACTGACCTCAGTTCAGACTCCATGTTTCCAGATGCAATTATCATTTGCTGCCTTCTTCCCGCAGGTCTCTCTGTTCTTACACAAGGCTTACCTCCTGCTTTTCTATCTGGACACCCTGAAGCCGGTGTACACCCTGAGGGAACTAAGCCCAGACTCTCTGAATAGAGGGTCAGGAAGGTCTCTGCTTGTTTCCAGTCCAAGTTCATCTGATTTTCAGAATTTGCCCCATCTTTTAATTTGAAAATAAAGTTGACCACTGCACCAAGTATCTTTACTCCCAAAGAAAAGACAATTTTTCTGAGTAATTAAGAGGTTATTGTGTGTGTGTTTGTGCCCACCCATATGTGCACTCCCAAGAGTTTCACCAAGCTTATTTGTGAGTATTTAAAACCCAACAAAACTATTTTAGTTTGGAAGAAATTTCTGTTTCTCCTTTGCTACAGGATCACAGAGTCTGCATGCACAGGACCATTATGAGAAGAACTGGTTTTAGGGACATTAAGAATTAAAACTGATTAAGTAAAATAACTTCCATTCATATTTCCAACACTTAAATTATATAAAGAATTGTAAATCACACCAAAAAAACCTCTTTGCTGGTTTAAAAATTATTTCATCTCTTTTTAAGTTTTGCTTTTATGTTTGCTTCTTTGTTTTTGTCTTAAGGAAAAGCACCATAAAGAATGATTGGCCAATGAGTTTTAGGAAATAGTACCTCACCAGTATAAGCAATTTGACATTTAGGGCACTATAACCAGCTTACAAATTTGAAAATCATCTTTTGTTATTTTGATCATCAAGATTTTTCCAACCCATACACGACGTTAGAAATACACATTCAAAGGCAGAGAGAAGAGATGGTGGGAAGAATAATGGACTTGCCCGTGCTGCTACAGATGGGAGGACTGGGCAACAGGTTTGTCCCGACTAGAGCTCTCAATATCGGCCACTCCAACGGCAAAGTAAAGTGAACCCTAACCGGAAAGATGCCCCCATGAATGGATGCCTATCCAGAAGAAAATGATTTCAAATACCCATTAGTCACTGGGATGAAAGGGCAAACATTCATACTTACTTCCACTCTTAACTTCACCTAGATTTTCCTTTTCATTTCAAGTTAAAAACAACACACTCCACTGCACACTGAATCTAAATGCTAACTCTATGAGAGCCCCACACTAAAATGTCTCTTTACAACAGGTTTTCATGAAGGCAGCAGTTTGAAGACCTGATAGCACCAGGAGAAAATGTCCCTGAAGAATGTAAAAGAGACGCCACCATTCTCAACGTAAGCATGCTAGCAGGAATCAGAGTTTTACAGACAATGTTGAAAGAGTTCAGTTTACCTTGGGGAAAACACCCTCCAGGCTTTAAAAGTGTAAGACATGCACTGATAAGTCTTATGTATATACTTAGTAACATTAAATATTTGAGGCCACCAATGATTCAGTGTCTATTTCTACACACTAAGCTTCTTAGCACGCTCCCCCAGAAGCAGGCTAACCCACATCCTAGAGTGGTCTGGCTGCAACATCACTCCAGGGCCTTGGACATCCAAGTGGCCACAAGCGCCTACTCCTATCCCCATCACTAAAGAAAGCACAGATAAAGCCTTCACTGGCGGTAAAGTAGTCAGACACAGGGGGACAAGGAAGGACAAGAACAGGACATGCTGCCCACATTACTGCTCAGGAAAAGCAGAAAGAAGAAAAGGGATGGTGGGCAAGGACACTCCAGGGGGTTAAGACGCAGTAGGACTTTAAGTTTGAAGAAGTCGCCCATGATAGAGTGCTGACTCTTTTTTATTTATCATTCTTTGAGTAAATTAAATCTATTTTAAAGATGCCAAGGAAAACAAACTAGAATAAGAAGTTAATAAACTGGAGGAAAGGAATTATTAAAAACTCAACTTGTCAGAATTCACCACAAAATCCAATTTACAAGCTGGCATAAAATAATACCACTATGGAAATATATAACAAACAAAATTACAACAGAAAATGCCCTGGTGCATTTTTCCAAATAGCATTCTCTATCCTGGAGTCCCAGTGCTGAAGTTAGTACAGCCACAAGTCAATTCATATCCAAGTGCATCTATTTCATAACGAAAAGACATCTTACTGCTCCAACACAAGCATACTTAAGTCCTCTTTTCATTTATAAAAAAAAATTGAAGTATCGCAAAGAGCAGCATATAAAATAGAAATACTAAGATTTCCAAGTAAGTGATGATGATGACAACTGAGATCCCTCTACCGCTCTAACTAATCTTGAAAAATACATGGTGGTGAGATGGCTCAGTAGGTAAAACCATTGCTGCCGAGTCTGAGACCCATGTTTGTCCCCAGAATGCATATAAAGTGGAGAGAACCAATACCACAGGCTGTCTGTCCACAAGGTTATCCTCTGACCTCCATATACCTGACACCAGCACACACTCCATTCCTATGCACAAATACATACAATACATTTTAGTAAAAACATAAGCCAAAATGAAAAAACAATCTTAACAACTTGCTTTTACAGGCACTTGCTTCAGGGCTGGAGAGATGGCTCAGTGGTTAGGAGCATTGCCTGCTCTTCCAAAGGTCCTGAGTTCAATTCCCGGCAACCACACAGTAGCTCACAACCACCTGTAATGAGATCTGGTGCCCTCTTCTGGTGTGCCGGCATACACACAGACAGAATATTGTATACATAATAAATAAATATTTAAAAAAAAAACAAACACTTGCTTCAAAGTGGAGCTATTTGGCTTTCTTTCCTTTCTTGGTTATAGAATGCATAGTAGAGAAAGAGTAGTGAAATCATAAATCAACAAAAGACAAAGAAATATTTTAAAATATATTTCAAAGCCGGGCAATGGTGGCGCACGTCTTTAGTCCCAGCACTCGGGAGGCAGAGGCAGGCGGATCTCTGTGAGTTCGAGACCAGCCTGGTCTACAGAGCTAGTGCCAGGACAGGCTCCAAAGCCACAGAGAAACCCTGTCTCAAAAAACCAAATATATATATTTCAAAATATACTTTAAATATATACTTCAAGAAGCTGTTAGGATAAAAACGGCTGCTTCATCATGCTAATTTACTATCAAAGAAAAAACTGCAGGTTAGAATAACAATGTAACAGCAAGCTTGGAGAGCCAGGCTCCTAACAGACTTCTGAGAGGTTTGGGGGCTGAGGGGCTGGGCTGTAAACTCAGCTACTCACTCAGAGTCACACAAGGATCCTAATGTCCAGGCCAGTCTGGGACACACAGTGACAGAAAGAGAGCCTGGGTTCAACCTCCAGCACCACAGAAAGTTAATGAGAACAAAATATCTAAGAGATGAACAGCTTCATACCTAAAGTTCTTAGGGAAAATCTGGGCTCGGTGCCACTGACCTGTAATCAAAGGTAGAGGCAGGAAGATCAGAAGTTCAAAGGCCAAACATGGGTACAAAATGAACTCTAGGCCAGAGCAGGGCAGGCTACTGTGAGACACCCCTTCTCGAAAACAAACAAAAGCAAAAATAGATAGATATAACTAAGAAAACAACTTCCTCCCAGCTTTCCATTGAATTCTCCAGTCACTACAAAGACTGCATAGTGTCAATGAGATAGACCCACTCTGACTTTGCTATAAAACAAAGACAAGAACTTAAAAGAAAACTGGGTGTAGTTTCTTGGCTTTAAATGACTCACCAGAGATTTATAGAAAGATTAACTGAACTGAATTCTGGCTCATTCATAAAATGGGGTTCGGAATACCTAACCCCAATAACACTTTGCACAGATGTTTATGGTTATCATAAAGGTGTATACTGCCTGACATACATCAGTAATTCAAACATTGCTAGCACCTACATCAAACATTCACCTGCACTGATGCAAGGCTCCCATCAAGAGCCCTGTATCTGTATAGCTCTGGGCGCTCTGCTAAGTCTGCAGCACTTCTCTCGCTCAGAGAAGCTCACGCTATGACTCTTCATTAACTCACCTTTAGCTTCCTCAGAGAGGCAACATTATTTTAGCTCTCTTGTTTAGTGATTAGCAGTGACTTATATATTATGACCATTCTAAAATGTATTAAAATGTTGTCACTCTGTATAAGATGACCTCCAAATTCAGATAAAAGGAAATTAGAATTCTAATTTTAAAATTCACCAACTCAAATTTTTAATTTTAACATCTAATATGTTTACTAATATAGAAATATATTGATCCAACCTATAGAATTATGAAGGGTATGTGCTTGTTACTATTTGGATGTATGATACCTCTCTCACATATCACACACACACACCAAACAAATACAGAAAACAAACAAACAAAAAACCCCATGGGAATGTGAAGGGCAGAGACCATTAACATACCTAAGTCAAACCCATTCCTATAATAATAAACCCACTGTCGTATAACATCATTCGTCTAGCTCATAAAGTTGAAGCCTCCAAAACCTCTTAAAGAGTTCCACACTGTGATAATAACTACATCCATTCCCTCTGTCTCCTCATCCCTCCCTTCCTTTCATAGTGCCAGAGATAAAACCCAGGCAGAGCTTGTAAGTGCTAGGGAAGTGTCCCACTGAGCTGTATCCTTATATAATATAGCAATGGGTTCATTATTGTAGGAATGGGTTTGCCTTACGCTGTGTGTTCACAATCTCTACCCCTCCACTATGTTGCCAAAAAGTTCTAGCTATAGCTGGCACCTTGACAACTCAAACAGATTTCTATTCGCTGTATGCACATTATTCAACCTGTGTGTTCTGCTCAGTAACATTAATAAAACACATTCCCTTACAGTTGATAAGAATATTTAGAGACGACAGTACTACTCCAGGATTCCAGAGATACCAGCCTTGAAGCTTAGTCTCAGTAACAGTAAATTGTTTCAGGGTATTCAGAGCACACAGCCAGATCACTAACGGCATATCCAATCCATCTGAGTGGGGATATAAATATACAGTGTTGCACGCCATTAGTTTTCTACTAAAGATAACCCCACTTCTTGGTTGTTTCAATGAGCAACAAGTAGCAGGGAAAGGTTTTCCTCTAGAGGAAGCCATATGAGGACAGCTTCATTTCAGACTCCAGCCTCCGAAAGTGCTGCTGTCCTGAGCCGTGAAGCCTGCCATACTTCATTACGGCTGCCCTTGGAAGCTAACAGACTAATGCACATCTTGCAGGCTCCGAGGCTGCTACTTTTTCAGTTCTTAAATTTAAAATTCTATTTATGTCATCTCAAATCTATCAAGATACTTAACTTAGAGGAAGAACTTTAAACGAAAATACTGGAGCTGGAAGTGGTTCAATGGTTAAAAGCACTGGCTGCTCTCTTCCAGGACTAATATTTTATGACTAACTGGTATATAATAAGGGCTCTACAGAAGCAACTTTTCATTTATGGTACTAAATCTAATTCCCAAAACAATTTCTCTCATGGTCCTGCATAAGAGTAAAATGACAAAGATAAATGAACACAAAGTACTACTGGAAGTCCATATGGCTTTCTTCACAAAGATACAGCTGACCAAATCAGCTGAGAACCATTCAATATCCAAGATTAGTACATCAAGACACAAGTGAATGAATGAAAGAATGAATGATGCACAACGCCTAAAAGCAAAGTGTCATTGCTTCCTTTCAGACACTTAACTGATGTCAGACTTGTGTAGTAGACCATCTACTGCAAACGACAACAAGAACCCATAAACCATTTTACTCCTTTTTTTAGTCATATCCTCCCTTAAGCAAAACGAGCAGTACTCAAAAAAGCAGTCTTTATAAATAAAGTTATAAAACTTTAATAATATTGTTTTTAAAAGTTAAGTGCCCCTTCAATTTTGTGCCTAAACAAAGGTTGAGCCAACACAAGTTCCTCATAAAGAAGTGGTAAGAGAGCAAGCACAACAACCTTTGCCACCATCAAAAAGCTTCAACAACCTCTAAAACCATTATTATGCAAATACTCACTAAAGAGCTATTTCCTACCACAGCAACTACCACAGGTCTTCCTGCTTAAGTGACATAATACCTACACACAGCAAACAATTTACAAACTACTGGTCAGCTGTGAGCATTCTAATTTATATAAAACATCAGTAAAATGTATTTCAAGTACCAAAGGATATAATTAAAAGATTTAGGAACAAACATAGAGAAAAAAAATAAAACCATGAGGATTCAGCGTTTTCCACATAAACACCGGAAAAATGTAAATGTTAGCACAAAACAAAGATTGCCACACACCTCTTGAAGTACAGTGGTGATAACCTCTAAAAGGTACGGAATGATGAACATGAACCAAAGGAAGGGAGTGGAACTTGGCTGGGATGCAGCTCAGTAGCAGAGCTTATGTTCAGCATATGTGAGGACATGGATCAATGATTTTAATACCTAAAAGGGATTAAATATGAAATGGTCTCCTATCCATCACTGTCTATCAAATAGACTCGACACATCTTTATAACAATGTTGATCCTAATAAGTCTACTAATAAGTATGTGTATTAGAAAAGGAATACAAGCTAACTATCAAATACTCTGCTTTCAATAAGCTTCAAAATTACAGTTTACCAACCTTCTGACACTGGAAGCCATTTAGGAAATCAAAGAGTACATTAACAATTCTATGCAGTGAGCAGAGCCACACATAAGGATAAGCTACCCTTCACTTCATAAGGTACTTATCTCATAGCTTCGCAATAATAGAATCCAGACTGCTCTAATGTGTCCCCAACTCCTCCCCGAAAAGATAAAATTAAGAAGACACTTAGAGTAATCGTCAGGAACAGGGAGGGCATTAGAAGCATTTATAAATGCTTCTAAGTATCTCCTTTAAAGAGTCTAACTTAGCACAGCCTTGCCAGGGATTCTTCCCTACTTTTTTGGTTTGCTTTAGTGACAAAAAGTTACTTAGTGCAAAAAAAAAAAAAGTAACAGACAATTTTTCTGTAGGCTTTCTAAGAGTCTGCAAACATCCCAAGAGCAACACATACAGCAAATCCCAAGCCATCAACTATAGGCTGATATTCTGTGGCAATGGGTTTGAGGGTCTAAATGTCAAGAATCACAAAGAAACAAGCTTCCTCAGCTTTGGAAGCTTCATTCCAAGCATGAAGTTATAGGAAGTTCTCACCTACAATACTTGTAATTTACTCGCAACTTTCTTACAGTTAATCAATATTCTAAAAAGTTCTTGCATTAGGCAGCTATAAAGCAAGTAATATCCATGACAAAAGGGAAGGTCTGATTAGTGTTACAGAGCCCTTCCAAATCAACACACACAACAGTTATGCGCATCATTAATACCTGTGCTCCTGATACAGGGCCAAAGGGGTTTGGTGGTCTCATGACAGGCTGGCTGTATATTAAGGTTGGTTGTGTCATTACAGGCACACTTCCCATCTGAGGAGGCTGAAAAAATAGGATAATATTAAGTTAAGAAATGCTGGGTCACATATTCACTACTGTGGAAGAAGTAAACAAGAGGACTAGTTGGAATAAAAGATGAACGCTACCTCTCTGCTTTGACTGCATGCAAGGAAGACCGATATCTACAAATTTCTGAGCACTTTCATATAGCCTTAAAATATACCAAATAAAGCCTAACCTTTTCTATCCAATGGATTTGCCAAACTTAAGCTTTATTGTAATATAACAAAGAAATATTCTGACAGAAAAGACGAAACGAGAAGAGGAAGGGAGGAGATGGTTGAGGAAAAAGCTTCAAGTACCCAGATTTCTCTAGATCTATATACAGAGAAAACTGTAGGCTCTATATCTAAATATTAATATACTTCAGAGCATGCCGACTGCCTTTGCATATCAAATCAAGTTTTATGCCATATGCAAGTGATCATAAATAATGACTAACTTTCTGTGTGTGTGCATACGTGCAGGTGTGCGCACATGTTCATGTATGTATAGGTACAAGTACACACGTGGAGGCCAGAGGTTAACCTCATGTCACTAAGGGTAACAGAATATAGATTATGAGGATGGTAAATGATTCAAAGACTGGTTTTGTACCACAACAATCACTGTCAGTGCACACTAATCTACTGTATTAAGTGGTATCATTTCACTAATCATACCAAAATAGCTTAGAGTAAACACTAACATCTAAGTGAGTTTGCAATGAAAGGCAACATGCACAGCAAAGCTACAAGGTTGAAAATAAGTGGTCAATACTGGATACACTAATCAACAATACCTATTTTACAACAACCATTCTTAAAACATTCTTATGAATCGTTGTTAGGTTCTTGATCTAGTAGCATATACAGGGCACTTAAAAAACAACTAAGGTTGTAATAAACTACTATAAATAAACTAATGTTAGGGATAAATTACTCTATTGTCCAAAACTTTATTTAAAAACATACTTACAATCCCATATCCCATCATGCCTGTTGGTGTGGTAGCAGGATAGGCCATTACAGGGGGTGCCTGATATGGCAAAAGAGAAAGTAAATAAGGAAATGTTAGTTCCTGAATGTCACGAGTTTAAAGGATTGTCAGATTTCTATTTAAGACAAATTGCTAAGACAGCTATGATTATGTAACACTTGTGATTACTGGAACTTGTCAATTAATACTCAATGAGAAATAAAATCTCAAAATTAGCAGAAAAGTGGAACTATTAGGGAAAAAACCACTTAAACGTAGACTCAACAGTAGTCTAAGCTCACAGCATCCTTTCAAAGACCTTTCCACAGAGCACTTGCCTGCTCTGTTTGAGACCCTGGATTCTATCCCCAGCTTCATCAAGATAAGCAAACAAATGGAAAAGTCGCCAGGTATTTAAAAATATCCAGAATTTTAAGTCTATCATTCTTATAAAAATTGGGTTCCAGAACAGCTAGGGCTACATACCCTGTCTCAAAAAATAAAATAAACAAACAGTAACATTAAAATGTTTATCAAGAAAAAGATAATATGAATGGGTTTTTGGTGTATTTCTTTAGTACTGGAAGTAAAAAAATCATAAAGATTCCACATCAATTAGTATCTTGATGTTCAAAAAATTAGTTTCCAAGGATCTTGCTCATGGTTGTCAAAACCACAGGAAGATTTCAAAGTGCCTCTGAGTGACTCTCCCTAGAACCACAACTTTCATGTAGGTAGCTGTATGCTAGCTTTCCAATTTATCCTAAAACTTTCAATTACATAGAAGGAATTCAAGTTCTAAGTACGTATTAAATGAGATCTTCTTGTTCTACTTTAACTGATGATTTGTAAACATACAATCTAGAAACAAATTGTTTTAGATATGGCTGTCTTAACAATATTCCCTGCATACCTCTCTCATAAAAGACTAAAACTGAGCACAGGTGAAAGACCAATAACACGGTTAAAACATAAAATTATACAGCAATTTGAACATATGCATGAAGTTAAATGAAGCATAACTTTAAAAATAACACTAACAAGTGAAGTTTAGTATTTAGGTGAGCATGTAGGGTATATTGGTCTCTCCGCACTTCAAAACCAAAATCTATAAGAGCAGTAAGACAAACTGCCAAGTACAGCAGAAGCCTGTAAGATTACATGCAATTGTTATTTCAAACATTACACAATCAACATTTCCCTTCATTCAGAAGTCATCAAGTGCATGGTGGCAGCACAGACACACACAGACACCCAGCCATCTGGCAGCAAATGGCAGAATATTAAGCAAGAAAGAAAAATTGGTATTTCCCATGCCACCATCAGAATCAATTCTGCAACACACCCATGAAAAATCAGTAGATGCTAGGAAGAATTTCTGGCACACTGAAAATCTGATGTGAAAACAAGGACTAGCTGGAAGGTTATGAGAGTCTGCTGCAGCGGTGGTTAATAGCATGCCAATTTATTGCCAAAAAAAAAAGGGGGGGGGGGAAGAAGAAGAAGGGCTAGGTTTTGGTCACTTACGTATTGTGGAAAATGCATGCCATTCTGCTGTTCCCCAGGGAGAACAATTACATAATGCAATAACACTGGATTAGAGCAAGTACTTACACAACAAAATACACAGAGAGCATTTTAGTTTACATGTACAATCACTACCTAAAATTCCGGGTATCTATATATCTAAAAAGAACATCTATTATCAAACACTATCAAGGTTGACAAGGAAAACACATTTAGCTACCTCCCTATATAGACACAATGGTTCAGTACTTACAAATGTTATTAAAACATAAAATATATCAGTGATGCCTGAACAAAAAATTCAAGTGCATCCTCAAATAGGATGACGTCATTAATCTACCATCAGGGTGGGGGTTACCAATGAAAACAGCTTGCGGTATAACAAATATTTTAACAAAATAAGTGAATTTGCCTGAAATATTAAAAATTAAAAACCTTGACAGTGTTTAAAGAATTAATTAAAAGGTTAGAAATGTAAAGAAAAACCATAAGCAGCAGTTTACTCTTAGTGAATCACATCACAGGCCTCACATGTTAGCCATCAAAAAAAAAAAAAAAAAAACCAAACTATAAAATACACACAAATATCTTAAGAGATGACACACACTACAATATACGACACACTGCTATACTGTCAACTTACATACAAATGGCAGAGGGCTGGGTGTTTATTACATTCTGTAAGTCAATATTGGGTAAATGCTAGCCTAGCTTTCAGTATCTCATAAAGATTAATAATGACAACATTAAATACGCAAACAGTACTGTGCTTTGATATTAGCTGTTGTGCTCACAGCGCTGCACACACCCATCTGCAGCCATGAAGCCACTGAACTAACACTCCTACCAGTTCTAGTCACTGAGGCATGTTATAATGGAAAACGCTGGATTCACAATCAAGTTCAATTAAAATCAGCTTTAAGTGCTTTCCATTTGGAGATTTTAAAAAGCACAGACAACATTGTACTTCCAAGTGATATATGTACTCCAACTCTCTCTCGAGAGAACACTACACTCTTAGGATACACTTACTGTAAGTCATGTTCATATGCTTGTGTTTGTATGTAAAACCTAGACTATGAAGCAGACATGGTATTAGACACCTCTAACTCCAGCACTTGGAAAGCCGTGGAGAAGAATGGGGCATATGAAGCTGATCTGAACACTTAGTAAATTCAGAGACAGTCTGGGTTCTATAACAAAACTTTCCATACTCACACCTGCCTCCTTGAAAAACAACAAAATAAAATGAAGTTAAACTCAAATATTTTCATTTTATAAAGTCTAAAGCTATTAATGATTTAACCTAGCCTACAGTTTTAACACATAAGCAATCCAAGGTAAACAAGGCGATGTCCTACAAGGGACTTAATGACAAGAAAGCTGCTATATTAAGCACAATGGTTCTAACAGCAATTAGGGAGGCTATAAGATATAGCACCTAAGTAATCAAAACCCTGCCTTCATACCACTCAAAGAAAAACCGTATTTCAAATGTTTCAACAGAAAGGGAATGAATTTCTCAGGCAGAGGGAGAGGAGACGTGGTAGATTAAGATAAAACAGGCCAAACACAGGAAAATAGCCACAAGCTATTCTGGGCCTACTATGTCTTATAGTAATTAAAAACATCAATAGAGCCTCTTTTATACTAGGTGCTACATAACCAGCAAACACTGTTTTCTGTTAGCGAACTTTATAATATCCAAGTTCAATATTCACAGCACTTCCCAAGTTATTCATGCACATGTACAGAGGCATAAAATACTGAATTACACCACCGTTCATTCCCCAGTAATACGGAATAAACTAGATGTTCTGCTTCCAAGTGTTGGGATTATAGGCCATATACCAGTATGTCTGGCTTAGAATGAGGCTTTATATATGATGTGAAATTGGTTCAGTGTTCGTTCACTAATTCATTGATCAGGGTAAATTCAATCGAATATTAAATGGCTACAAATAATGACAATCAACTACATAAACTATATAAAACTAACAAAATCCAAGAAAACAATGTTTACCCACGGTGAGGTTCAAAGGATGTACGGACTTTAGACCCTAGACAATAAATAATAAATTTAGAGTGACAAAACAGTGTGTCCTGCCTGTAGCTTTGAGGCCACATGCTAAGAATGAATCCCATTACTTAAGAACTTTGTACTGCTGCTGTATGTTTTAGGAATTGTGCATATACTCTTGTCTATAACGTGTGAGAAAACACTAGCTCCTATCACAACCACACACTACTTATTAAAACAATGTCTAGCCTGGAATAATCTTTAAATACATGTTAGGTATTAAAATGTGCCCGACAAAGATAGTCAACCAGCCTTAAAGAAAAAAAAAATGAAGTAATAATCTTTCCATTTATGTCTATCAAATTAATTTTTGTTACACACTGTAGTTAAATATCCATGTATTAGGATCAGAAGCTTCTCCAACTCACCATTGTTGCAGCATTCCAAGCAGTTGTCGGTGCAACCTTTGGTTGCCAGTTAGATCCTCCTGTCAACTTCTTTTCACCTGGTTGACTCCAACTTACATCACTTTAAATAAACACAGACACACAATGTTTCTATATGGACACACTGAACATTAAAAGCACCAAACTGACATCTCTATACACACTTCTGAAGTGAAAAATCCTATCACCTTCTACATGGTATTTAAATAATATGAATAAGATACTCACTTCTTAGTGGTTCCATTTCCAATGCCAAGATCTGGGAGAAGAGAAAAGGATTTAAGAACTAGAATCATTTTACTAAACAAGCTCAAGGGTGAATGAAGAATAGAAGGACTACTTACTGCCCACAAGGTTGGCTAGAGATGAGTCCAAGTCATCAGACACTAACTTGTTTGGTGGAAGTTTGGCAATAGGAAGACTCTGGTTCTGAGAGGCCACTGTTGGTTTGAGGAGTCCACCTAGTTCATCAAAGCCTTAAAGTTACAAACAGACGAAATGGGACGTGTAAGGAACTTCACCAGCTGCAGCTTTCTAAGGACTTCTCTCCCCTTTCTGCTGGTTTACTCACGGCAAGTTTTCCCAGAACACGGGAAATGCCCTCACGTGGAGAGAGGAGAAATCTGCCATCTTCAAGCAAACTTTAACAGAAATAATTAGTGTAATCTAATGACAAAATTATATCGAGGTTAAAGGGAATGATTTTAAAAAACAGTTATAAAAGGGAGGGAGAAAGGATGTAAATCTCTCCCTATCCCAGCAAAAATTTTCTGAACACTCAAACCTAAAGTCCCTTTTATGTTGAGAAAGAATATTTTTAAGCGTCTTTTATACTGGAGCTGAAGAAATGGCTGAAAAGTTAGTAGTAAGGTTCAGAGCAAGTGCCCTTACCACTGGGCTATCTCATAGGCCCAAGAAGGCATATCTTAAAGAACTTTTCACTTCTCATACTTGGGAATATAAAAACCTAAATCAGGGACTGGGGGGATGGCTCAGTGATTAAGAACACTGGCTGCTCTTCCAGAGGACCTAGGCTTAATTCTCAGCACCTACGTGGTGGCGCTCATAACTGCCTGTAACTCCAGTTCTAAAGGATCAAATGCCCTCTTCTGGTCTCTAAGTGAGCCTTCAGGCACATGGTGCATACAGAGACAAGCAGGCAAAAAACCCTACAAATAAATAAAAATTATTAATTTTAAATAATTAAGAGACTCTAAACTATATCCAAGAAAACTATGTAATTATATAATTCACCTAAAAACAAAAATAAAACTCTATAAAGGTTCTTCACCAAGGGTTAAAAGGTAAAAAATCCAACAAAGTCAGCCCACTTCGGGACTCAGCAGCATGACTGATCCAGGAATACTAGAGCCTAAAAACAGGAAGTCACCAAGGATGGTGATTTCCAAAATAAAAAACTTATTAGTTTCCAATTTCCTTTTCCTAGACAAGCCAAATTCAAAAAAAGAGTCAAATGAACCCTCAAATACAGAGTTATAAGCCTAAATTAAAGGCACATGAAATAATTCCATACGCATATGCTTGCTTCATATTTTTATGGATAACTAATTATACATTATACAACTAAAAACACTTCAATATATTTTAAAGTTAAAATTTAGTTGTTAAGTGAAGTCAATGATTATGTTCTTGGAATAAAATTAGAACATTAAAGTTTTATAGGGAATGGTATAAACTTCACAATAATCTGAAGCATAAAGCACTGGCCACATCCTAGAGTCTTACAGTCTTGACGACAAATCAGCCCTGCAGTCACAACCTTTAACACACTCAGCTTTCTTACACATACGCTATCTAAACATGATAGGGTGAAGACACACTCGTCTTTAGTTTCAGAAACAATCTCATACTGTAATATGCTCATTGTTCATTTCAGTTAAATAAAAATTATGATAACTGAAAAGTTACAGCACTTGACACACCAGAAACTGTTTTCTCTAATTGTGCTGTGGGCCAAAAAAACAAAAACAACAACAACAAAAACAAAAAACAAAAAAACTTTCCCAAACTCTAAAACGCTACCAAGAAAATTATTCTTTGAAGTTCCCATCAAGTAAGTGTTTGGGGAAGAAGATCAATTTACTCCAATCTATAAATGCTAAAAGCAGTATGTTTCCTATGAAGACTATGCATTAACAACACTAGCATATTTGGAATCAGCAAAAATAAAACAAAAAAAATATTTTCCTTACCTCCAGAATCCACCGTAACATTTGTAGATTTATTTCCAAACACAGACTCAAAGTCAACATTAAGGCCAGTTGAAGGGTGTGGCTGTGCAACTGGAGAGGGGCTGAATCCTAAGAAAAAGCAAAATGCAAAACGCTCAGCTTTCTACCAACTATATTAATAGTTAAATACAGTAACCATATATTAATAATGGTAATAAAATGGGGAAAGCAATACATTCCTTAAACAAAAAAGCTAGTTTTTGAAGATAAATTTTTTTCTCCAATATATCACACTTTTGAGACTAGTACCACACTGTAGTCCAAGTGATTCTCCTGCCTCAGCCCCCAAGTATTAAGATTATAGGTGTGAGCCATCATACCCAGCTACATTTCCATCACCCACTAAGGAACAAAGAAGGAGCAACATGCATCGGATTATAGGTTTACTTCAGTCCAGAAGGGAAACCTTTGTTTGTCTTTTATATTAATTTTGCATCTGATAATATTTTTTCCGAGACAGAGTTTCTCTGCAGCTTTGGACCTTGTCCTGAAACTCTATAGATCAGGCTGGCCTTGAACTCACAGAGGATCTGCCTGTCTCTGCCTCCTGAGTGTTGGGATTAAAAGTGTGTCCCACCACTGCCCAGCTCTGATGATTTCTTAAAACCTAAATTCATCTAGAACACAAAGGTCCTGCCTATGACCTTCTGTATCCTGTATCTCTCTCACCTACCTTTTTTTCCTACTTTATCTCAAAAGTTACACTTTAAAAAAATTGTTATTACATGTATTTATTAGTGTCTGCCTGTGTGTGTGTGTGTGTGTGTGTGTGTGTGTGTGTGTGTGTGTGTGTATATGAATGTGGGCATGCATTGTCACAGTGTATGTGTGGAAGTCGAGACAACTTCTGAGAGTTAGTTCTTTCCTAACAGAAAAATATTCCAACTGGAATTAAAGGCTTTGTGCCACCAATGCCTGGCCCAAATATCTTTAAACACAGACCAGCAACATAGTTCAGTGAGTAAATGCATCAAGCTTTAGTTCAATTCCCAGGACCCACAGGGTAGAAGGAGAAAACCAACTGCAATGAGTTGTCCTCAGACTTCTACATTTGAGCTGTGCTGTGCTCGCACACAGATACATGTCCACACTCATACACACTCATTAGAGGACTAAAGTCCAGGGCCAACCACTCCTGGGTTGTAGGTATACTTTTAATGACAATTTAAATGAAGGGAATCAAGTAGTGTGCATAAACACACAAAATTAGCTGGACTCTCAAAGTAGTGCACTAGCCAAAAACACATTCGCTGGGCTGGAGGGATAATTGAGTAGTAGTCAAGAGTATTTGCAGCTCTTCCAAACAACCAGAGTTCCCAGCACCCATACCAAGTGGCTCACTGCTGCCTGTAACTCCAGCTCAAGGATATCCAATGACCTCTTCTGGCTTTCAAGGGCACTCATATATACACGACATACAGTTGTACACACAGATACATACACATGAATTAAAAAAAAAAAAAAAAAGACAGCCGGGCAGTATGGGTGCACTCCTTTAAACCCAACACTCAGGAGGCAGAAGCAGTCAAAGTTTGGGTCCAGTATGGGCTACAAATCAAGTATGAGGACAAGTTCCAAAGCTACACAGAGAAACCCTGTCTTGAAAAAGAAAGAGAGAGAGAGAGAACCAAAGGAAAACAGCTGCTTTACATTATACAAGTCAGTAATATAATAATAAACTCTCATGAAGATGTCGAAGTCATGAGTATAGACTAGAGCATAATAGGCATCTATTTACAAAATCATGATGTGCTTAAAAAAAGACGGGGAGGAACACATCCTCAAAAGCAAGCAAGGGCTGGGATATGGCTAAGTAGGAGAGCTTGCTGAGAGTGCCCAAGCTCCTAGTTTCATCTCTAGTATCAATGGGGGCAGGGGGCAGGGTGGGAAGTGGGTCTATTTATTCCTAACAGGTTTATAAAAATTCAGCCAGGTGTGGTAGGATATGCTTTTAATACCAGTACTAGGGAGGAAAGCAGATCTCTTTGAGTTCAAGGACAGTTTGGTCTATATATTGAGTTTTCCAGGACAGCCAGGGCTACACAGTGAGAGCCTGTCTTGTACATGGGGGGAAAAAATCCCTCCTGTACAAATAAATCAATAAAGTAAGTAAACGGTAACAGAAGGTTCGTGATGTATAAGTGTACTATTAGGTTCTGTCTGGGTTTCAAAATAAAAATCCTAATAAGGCACAAGAACAAGGGACTCAAGACGAAAGGGAAAGGAAGGAATGGGGATAGAGGTATTCAACTTAAAGCTTACTAAAATGCAATTTTTGAAAGAACACAAGGCTGAGTACTCCATTAAAAAGATTAACAAAAGCCAGTATATCAACTTAATAAAGAACAACAAAAAAAAAACCTCTTTCAACTCTTTTCAGCCAATTCTAACCTATCTTTGAATACCTAACTTTACAGATAAAGAAGAGGCCTACACAAAGATTCTAGCTATTTCTCCCCCCAGCAAATTTAGAATATGCTGTAAAACATTATTTTCTGTAACTCATGTAAAATTTTGACTTTTAATATTGCAATGGCAGGTTAGTTAAGTCGCTGTTTTCATTTATTAGCTAAAATGGAATACGTACTTTTCATTTTTCCCTTTGTCTTCAGACAAGTGATGAAGTAAAAGACTAATGAAGGGGACTGAGGAAATGAACAACTTAAGGCGACATGAACTTATAATATGCAACAGCTTTAATGATAAGAATGACAACGGGTCTCCTTCCAGTGTACAAAGATAAAAAACCTAAGTATACATGCAAATTTAGATGTTACTTTAAAATCAACTCTCTGAACTAGTAAACAGGATAGGACACAAGACACCAGTAGCTGGAGTGTCACACTACAGCCGACAATGAAACCAAGAACACTCAGAATTAAAGGGAATCTGTTTTCTGAAATCTGTATTAAATACACCGAGGAGTATTTCAGCAATCAATTTAAGAATCTTAACTACACACATTATCACTCCAGTATTTTAAAATTTGATGTTGAAATCCAAAGTAATTATTGTAGCACTATAAAAGTAATTAGCACATAAGTTAAAAACTTAGTATAAACATGAATTGGGAAGAAAAGGTTAAATGGTACTTTACCAACAAACATTTCATGAGTAGGTGTCCTAGTAGTAAAAGTGGATACATCTGAAGAAATGGGAAGGTGAACATCACCACTACTTTTTGTGAGGAAAGGATTTAAGCTTGGAATGGCATCATCAACAGCATCTAGAGTAGCAGAGAAAGGATCTGTGCGTCCAAGTGAATTACAGCAAAATGAAGAAAGGAAGCAAATAAATTAGTATTGTGATTAGTTGAAAGATGCAAAGTGAAAAGTAGTAGTTATATTATTATTAATTTTACTCACAAACACATTTCATCACTAACATGAAAGAATTGCATTTACCATACAGAAACCCTTAGGGGAACTGTCACCATTAACTACTGCAGCAGACCATTACAGTTAAACTTGCTTCTCCCACATTAGAAGCCAATAGTCATACAGTTAAATAAGAGACCAAGCACAAAATATTCCCATACCACTCACCTTACACCTGCTCTGGCTGAGTGTACTGGTTTTGATGGCACAACTACTCTGCTTACTCAAATCATTGAAATACATATTTGGTAAAGGTACAGCATGAGTAAATATGCAGAAGAAAAGTCATTTCAAATTAAGGTAAGAAACTGATTCTAATATTTGTAAAATTCCTGTTTAGGTTCAACAGCCCAGAACTATTAAAGCGAAGAAAAAATTTAAGGAGAGAGAGGGACCTGCTGACAGAGATGACTGTCCCGCTGTCTGGGAACAACTCTAAAAGTCCTGAAGTGGTTTCCTACAGGGTAACAAATGTTCCCACCATAAAACTAACAGGCTTTTTTCTCCTTCAGTTTTGTATCTAAAGTTACTCTTGAATTACATTTTTCCTGTTCTTATGCCTCACTCAAGTCAGCTGTTCTAGTGAGGAAAGCCCCTCAAGACTGAAAGGTTTAACTAAAGGAGAAAAGAAAAAAACATAAAGGATAGCAAACATACAGCATCATACTTTTATTTGTAATAACTAATATCAAGATGATTCTACACGTTTAATCACCAGCCTCTTCCAGTTTTACGACTACATAAATGAACAATAACCTAACAATAGCCAATACTCTAAGGACCAGCTAGCTCACACTGACAGGCACACTTCCTTTACTCAATCAATTCAAGGCAAACATTCAATAATCCTAAATGTAACTACTTAAAAACTGGAAAATCACAAGAAAATAACAAATTAATGGGTTTAATTAAAGCATCTTTAAAAAAATTTAATTCTTTATTGTAAGTAATGTCCTAGGAAGCAGAGAGACTTCAACCAGCAACTGATGGAAGCAGATGCAGTTCCACAGGCAAATATTAGGCAGATATTGTCATTGTTCAAGTTACTGTATATGATATACTCAAAAGGAATTTAATAGTTTCATTACTTTGCAATGCTGAATATACTAACCTATAATTTGAGTCTGTTTAGAAAAACAGCTTTCCAGCTTCTTTATTTAAAATAAAGAAGGGCTGGCAAGATGGCTCAGCACATAAAGGCACTCGCCATCAAGCCTGCCAACCTGGGATCTACATGATGGAAAAGAAAACTGACTCCCAAAAGTTAGCATCTGCCTTCTGCACTCATGCACGCGTGCGCGCATACACACACATATCAATCTCAATGAGCAAATACAATTGGTGGGGGGGGGTCCTTCTGTCTACCTGTTACCTTTATTGGTTAATGGATAAAGAAGCTGCCTTGGCCTATAGCATGGGAGGAGGAAGGCAGAGTTAGATAGATGCTATGGATCTGCCACCAGAGTCAGACAAGCCGAAACTTTGCCGGTAAGCCACTGCCACACAGCAATACACAGATTAATAGAAATGGGTTAAATTAATATGTAAGAGTCAGCCATTAAGAAGCTAGAGCTAATGGGCCAAGCAGAGATTTAATTAATACAGTTTCTGTGTGATTATTTTGGGTCTAAGCTAGCCAGGTGGCCAGGAACCAAACAAGCAACCTCCTTACTATATATAACATTAAAATAAAATTAAGAGAAAATTAACATCTCGCTGTAGGAGAGACTCTGTGCTTATATCTCTTTAGTTCTATGTGGAAATGGAATGTTATGGAAATGTCCCCTTCCTGCACCAGCTAGTCTGTTCTCTCTTTTCCCCTGGTCTTACCTTCCACTCATGGAAGCAGGACTTACAGGAAACGAGTAATTATTAAAAAAAGAAAAAAACAAGCCAGAAGGTGAAGGCACATGCCTTTAATCCCAGCACTGGGGAGGCAGAGGAGGCGGATCTCTGTAAGTTCGAGGTCAATCTGGTCTACAGAACAAGTTCCAGAACAGGCTCCAAAGTTATACAGAAGAAACCCTACCTAAAAAAATGGTAGAACAAAAAGGCTAATTAACCATTAAAACATTAAAAATAAAGAGAAGAATTCAAAATTATTTAATGGTCTTGCTAATAATGCTAACATTTTAAAAATATGCTTATTTTCTATTTTATATGTGTATATATACACTAGCTGCATGTAAGTATATATGTGCATGCCTGGTGCCAGTAGAGGCCAGAAAAGGCTATCAGATTTCTGGAAATGGAATTACAGTCATTTGTGAGATGACATATGAACCCCAGTAGAACAGCAAGTGGTTTTAACTCCGACCCATCTCTCCAGCACCTGAGAGTTAGGAGTGGTGAGGCGTGCTTTTAGCACAGGATTAGAGGGTGGTGGAGACAGGAGGTACCTATGAGCTTGAGACCAGCCTGATCTACTTTATTCCAGGATAGCCAGGACAAAATAGAGACCTTCCCCCCGCCCCACCCCAAGCCCCAAAAAGTACAACTGAGATTAAATAGAAAATACAAAAATGTATCAAAAAATTCATGGACTGTTAGGACACCTTGTACTCTATTTTTATTTTAGTTAAGATTTTAATGTGTTTATCCCTGTGACTGGGTATGTGCATGGGAGTATATAAGGAGGCTAGAGCTATGAGACCTCCACAAGTTGTGGTCTGCCCAACACGGTGCTGGGAATAGAACTAGGTCCTCTACAAGAACAATATACACTCTTAATCACTGAGCTATTTCCCCAGCACCAAGTAACTCGGTTCTTAACCTTTAATTTGCTGTCTTGTTTAATTCTAAAATAATTCTAATATATTTATTAAATTACCTTTCTTTAGAAATTACTCTCAAATCTCAAGATTTTGCTAAATTAAACTAACCTTAATGCTTACACAAAACTAGTCTATAACCAAATTTTCTACAACCTACACTGAAGAGAAAATGTCCCCTTATTCAACAGAGTGTTTCTTATACTAACTTATTTACATCTACGTATAACAAGACGTACTCGAGAAAATGTCCCCTTATTCAACAGAGTGTTTCTTATACTAACTTATTTACATCTACATATAACAAGATGTACTCGAGGGCTGGGTGTGGTGGTTTCATCCCTACTATCTTAACACTTGGAGGCTGAGGCAGAGGGATTGAGACCAGCCTGGGCTACAGCGTGAGATGTAAGCTGGACCAAGGTGGATGGAGATAACTACCTCCACCAAGTCATTCTCCCTCCTCCACATGTGCACTGTGGTACACATGCTACTGCCCCAAACAATCACCAATGCTCTCCTAGTTAATGGTAGATAACCCTCGCCTTCACAGAGTTTAGATTCTAATATATTAAACAGTGTCTTAGGGCTGTTGATATAGCTCAATGCCAGATCATCTGTCTAGTGTGGGCAAGCCCTAGGTTCAACATTCAGTCCTACACCACAAAAAGTGAGGGGGGGCAGGCATTGGAGGGGAAGTGGAGGAGAAGTAAGAATGGATTAAAAAGAAGCATAGAAACTGTATTTTTAATTCAAATGATTAAATATGAAAATCTTACATGCTGTAAAATTTAATACCTCCAAATGTTACATGAAAGCCAATACAAATTAATATTTTATAATTTTCTACTTAGCATCAGTCTTCCTAAAAAAATCTTTTTCTTTCTAATAATTTTGATGACTATTTATAGAATAATATGCATACAAACACACACACACACACACACATACAAGACCATCCCATGGAGATGACCTGCAAAGCAGGCACCTCACTGAGCTGTGAGACACAAATAGTCACCACTTTGCTTTCAAGATGATGGAACTAAAAACCTACTCAAGGGCAGCAAACATTGCTATTATTTTACAAGTCTAAGTTAAAGAAACATTTAAAACACAATTAATTAATTTAATTTAATATAATTAATTAGAAAGGACAAGAATTACCATGAGATACCTGGTCACAACATACTTCGCTGGCTGATAACACAATCTGAATTTATTAAAACTTTACCATCTAGATACACAAAAGGATTTTACCCACCACAAAATGTTTTTCTACACCAAAAGTAGTAATTACTGTATATTTAAAATTCACAATGAAGGGCTGATCTTATACTTTAAAAAGTGGTCATTCTTCTTATATTTTACTTCATCCTCCCTAAACCTTGTTTCATAATTAGCTATGAATTCTAATACTTCATACATAATAAACTGTCTTTAGGAGATAAAAATTAGTCTATTGCCATCTTAGTATTTCTCAAGTTCCCACATAGCAAGTACAATCAAAACCTCTGCTACTTAATGGAGAGGCAGAAGCCTACACAGCATTTACACAGACTGAAAGCTTACCTCCCCATGTGCTTGCTACCTGAGGAGCGGCTGACATGGCATGGACAGAGGGATGAAAGGTCGGCTGCTGCAGGTCAAGCAGGTCATTTGGCAGCTTAGATATGCTAGGAAAAATATTGTAGAAACTAGTTTTATTTCTATATGAACTCTGCTAAATTAGTTGGTCTTCTCTACTCCACCCCCATAAAAATTAAAAGTGAAAAGCTTCAATGCAAACCTCAGAAGAACAATAATTCTGTAAAGGTAACAGCTGCACGCTTCCATTTAACATAATTATACAGAGGTCCAGAAAAATACTTGAACATGATGTGTTAAGTTTCTATCGAATTTGAGTAACAATGCCTTTTCTGGAAAGACTCAATGACTTTCCTAAGAAAACACCCATTCCCTTGTAGCATATTCCAATTAAACATTAGTAATTTAGCCACATTCCATTTCCTAAACATGTAAATATATCCATGTCACTTTATATTTAGGCAGTATACCACTGCATTGCTATTACACCTTTCGTATTCATTTGTGATTACAATATCATAAAGCAAACTCACAGCATCTGGAAAGCATGCATTTGAAGACACTTAGACTGAGTATTCAGAGACAGCCTTTGTCCCCGTTGTACCTGTTAGAAGAACTAGGGGTAGAAAACATGTCGATGGCTGGTGCAGTCATTACACCCCCTGCTGAGGTGGACACCGGAGAGGCTGCAGTTGTTAGAGAGGTGTGCGGTTTCTTCGCAAGTTCTTTTAGACGCTGCTCCTGTTGAGAAAGCAACTTAGTATAAGGAACCTAAAACTAAACCTGCTGGTACAGAAGCTGAAAAACAACAACAACAAACCATTTCCTAATTCTGCTTTAACAGCTGCAGGGTACCCCTGACTTTTCACCAAGCATTCTATGTGACGAGAAATGAAACTGAGTTTCAGCCTGAAGGATTGCTACACAGGTAAAAACTTAGGTCTGGCTAGAGGTTTATTTACATAATGATCCCTCTACTTGTTCTTCACAAGAGAAAGCCCATACTTACCTTTAGTGCTTTTAAACGAGCCTGTTCTTCCTCTAGTGCTGCCTGCTTTTCCCTTTCATCCACTTTGGTCAGAGATAGGCCAGTGCTTGCCAAAGAAGAGACTGCATTGGAAAGTGTTGTAGCCCTGGGATAAGAGAATAAAAGTAAACAATTCATATCTAGAACATAAAACGAAGTGGCCCTGCTTTTGACAAACTAAAATAACAAGTTTATAGACTTAAAGCTAGTACTTCGGATGGAATCTTCTAACCAGCAACCTAGAAAATTCCAACCATTTTAACACTGTTCACTGATTTGCAAATTCACAGCTTCTAGAATTAAGTGCCCAACTCAAGAAAAAATTTACAACACGGGAACACATTGCCTCTCTGAAGATAAGAAAGCAATAGGAAAGAGACTTCACGTTCCTAGGAGTCCTCACAGAAAGACAGCATCAACGATGATTCAGTGTCCCCGAGACAGCTCCTACACTATCAAAACCCTGGCTTTCGACAGTTCTACAAGAAGAGCAGAGCTTGAGCACCAGAGTAAATCGTGCATGTCCAGGCCTGTTTCCCACAACAGCACTCCCAAAAGCGACTCCTGGGGCTGTCAGGTTCCTGAGAAGGAATACTAGGTTCAATTCAGTCATGAGTCTGTGTGGCACCTCCTTTCTATGTGCTTGCTGACCACACAGACCGCCAGGGTTTTCTTCTCAAACCTATTGCACATACACATTCATTACCTCTCACTAGCCATATCCTTTCCCCTTCATAGATCTATTCATACTAGATACCATGAACCAACATTAAATTCTAGGATAAAGAACTACACTTGGCCTCAATTACTCTTCCTTTTCCCACAATGCACATACTACTAATTGCTGTTGTAAAGCCATAAGGTGGCAAAAGCTAATCCAATTGATGTAAAGTCAGTATCGTACATGAGTTAATGAGAAGGCAATGGATGAGTCACATAATTATGACAAAAATAAGCCAATGATGTCATGATAAATATCTAAGAGAAACTGGTATACCTAAACCATGTGCGTAATTTTTTTATTTCTTCCCTATAACCAAATAGTCTCTAACATCTTGATGATTATAGTACTTCTAAAAGTCTACTATAAAAATCAAAATCTTGCACAAAATATTATTTAAAAAAATCACTAGTGGATTTTTCCCTTTGGAATTGGGGGGCTGATGGGGGCTGGAAGGGGAGGAGCATTTCAGGCTGACCTTACTCACCACAGAGAACAAGCTAAACTCACACTTGCCTTCTTCCTGCCTCAGCTTTCCAAGTTCTGGGATTATAGGTAAGAGGCACTGTACCTAACACTGCTTAAATTATTAATAAAAAGGGGAGAAATCAGCAAAATATAAACTAAAAACCAAAAAGAACCAAAGAAAAAGTCTCACTATATATTTTATATATTCTTTTAAATAAAAAGGTAAAATCTTCCTAAGAAAACGAGATAATTATTCAAGCAATTACTACACCTGACTAAAAAAAATCATTAGTAGATCATTATGAGATAATTTCTATTATTTTTAATTTACAAGGTAAACTGGGAAATTAGCTCAAGACTTGACTTGATTAAAATAGAACCTGACAACAATCAATTCAATCCCATCAAATGTATAAAAAATGAAATAAGATGTCAGACATCCCAGGCCTGAATCCTAGTATTACTACTGCATCTACAAGGGGGATAGTATAGGAGCTGAGCAAAATTAATACAAAATTATCTTTTGATTTTGAAGCATGATATTTATGGCGAGTTTTAATACTGAAACCACAATTCTGAACAAAGCCTCACTGTCATCACCTTCAAATATGTCAACACTCACTGACAGCAGGAAGTAAATACATTAACCCCTAGGGAGTCCTCTAATTAAACATAATCTTCTAGATAACCAAGTCAGGATAGAAAAACCATACAATGAGGACCTTGAGCTGGTTTCATCTATTCCTTCAAAAAAAAAAAAATGTACCTGCTTGCAGCTGTGGAATCTTTGATTTTCTTCCCTTCCAAAGAAGCTAAATGTTGCTCTAAAGCATCAAGAAGACTGCTGGGAGCCTGAAATTACACAAATATTAGGAATTCATAACTATTACAACATTTTATAAATTGATTTATCAAATGTCATCTAACATGAGAACAACAAAAATAAATATATACCTCATGTATTAATTACTGGTAGCATTTTTAGCTGCCAAAAATAAATTATAATCTTTTATTGTTGTTGTTATTATTATTACTATTGGAACATAAACTACTTGAAATTACTAATAAGCATCACCAAAAGTGTAAAATCAAAAGATAAACATCAAACCTAAGAATCGTGTAAGAACCCAAGATTTTTAAATATTTAATATATGTAAAATTTTAGCAAAAACAGTATTAAGAATGAAGCACACACGTATTTTAATATACATATAAAAGAATGAGTTCCAGGGCTGGAAGGTGATTCTTCAGCAGTGGGTAAAGACACTTGCTGCCAAGCCTGACAACCATAGCTCAACTTCTGGATTCACACAGTGGAAATATGAGAACAGACTTCTAAATGTAGTCCTTACTTCCACACATGTGTGTTGGCATGTTTGCCTACAGTCACAAATGCTACACACATAAAATTACACACACACTAGGTGGGGTGGGGGTGGTGGTCGGGGTCAGATAAGGCTCAGCAATTAAAAGCACTTGCTGCTCTTTCCAGAGGACCTTAAGTTAGTTTCCCAGCACTCATGCAGGATGGCTTACAATCAACTTTAACCTCAACTCCAGGGGATCCAATGCCCTTTTCTGGCCTCCCTGGGCACCTACACACACATGGCATACACTCACATAGACACATGAATAAAACAAAAAAAATTTAAAAAGAAAAAATAAAAATAGCAAATGACCCAGCTGGAAAACTCCTGGTCATTTATTCTAAGGGTTCTAAACCAACATACCAGAGATACTTGAACATTCTTAACTGCTCACAATAACTATGATATGGCACCAGACTAGATGCTGCTCATCAATGCATGAAGGGGTAAATAAAAATGTAGTGGAAATACACAGTGAATTTTTATTCACTGTAGTGAAATGACATCATAACACTGTCAGAAAAATGGATGGAAGCCAAACCACCAAGTTAAAGAAGCCAGACTCAGAAAAGACAATACTGTTTTCTGCCGTATGTGGAATCTAGATTACAAAAGTTTATGTATATTTAGAAATTGTGTATGTATGTCTTAAAAACTAAATAATTCCCTCCTGAAGGGAGAAGGGAATGTGAGAAGAGCCACAAGGCCCCTCCCTTGGGCAAAATGACTAGTGTAAGTGAATCTGCCTGCAGGCTGGGTAGGAAACGCCACAGGTGCAGTTTTCACGGGTCACCCATTACCCATGCTCGGGTGGGCGTTTCCACTGTGCAGCTGTTACAGTAAAGCAGTGGACAGACAGGTCCACCATAATAAGAAATGAGTTCATCATTCATTGCATGTGTAATAAGGTTAAAGAACTCTCCAGAAATACAGTAAAATGTTAAAAAGCGTAAGGAAAAACCATACTCCTCATGAGAGAAATGAACCCTTCTCTTGGCACTGCAGTGCACATGACAGTGGATTGATGTTTTAACAATCTACTCACCTGGGACAGATCTGGAATATCTCCTCTGTCAATTCCAACTTGCTGCAAGAAACAAAATGCTGTATTTAACACGTGGAATTATAGCAATATGAACATCACCTCTTCAACATGCCTTACAGAAGCACTGGGAGAAATGAGAATGACTATCAACAGTTCTCTGGGACATAAAAAAGAAGCACATCTAAAAACACCAACTTTCCTTAAATTTTCTTTTTTCATTAAAAAAAAATGCTTCACAGAAAATCCTTTCAGAACCTATTATTTGGGAGCCAGTGAGACGGCTAAGCAGAGAGGCACTTGTTGCAAAGCCGACAACCTGAGTCATCGCTGCAATCACATGGCAGAAGAACTGACTTCCACGAGTTGTCCTCTGACCTCAACACAAATGCCATGGCACTCAAGTGCCTACACACATAAATAAAATAGTTTTTAAAAGTCTGTTTATTGTGGTACTCAGATTTCTCATGAATGTCAAGTGATATTTAACCAGGACGTAACTCTCTCCACAAAACCTCACTGTATTTTCAAGGGGTTCAGGCATTAAATAATTACCAGCATAAACAACTGCAACAAAACAAAACAAAAAAACTTCCTTCCTATTTAGTTAGGACTCAAATTAGAAATCTGTATTTCTCCCCTGACTATGTCTTATTTTCTAATAATACTCTTTTTCTCAACTTTCAAGAGTCTCAGAATAAAATCACTAGAAAATCTAATCCAATCCTATTTAGATATTAATAGGTCATCACTCAGACTTGGACAACGGTTCCCTTGGAATGCATTCCAAGGGATTACTGTTGCCTTTAAGAACTGAAGTTTCCTAATGACACTGCAAGCCCAAAGACAGTCTCATGGCAACACTATGCAACAGAATCTCTCATCTTAGATCACACGTACAGACAATGCATTCCACTTGTGTCAACATGCAACTTGGACATAAGGAAGGGCTTTTTTTTTTTTTTAATGTATGGCAGTAACCGTAACTAGCAAAACAAAAATGCAAGAGACCAGAAAGGGAAGTCAACAAACTAAAACTGACTTGCAAACTTTACTGGAATCATAGCAAAAACCCTGCCTCTTCAGTTTAATATGCAGCTGGTACAAGGGACTAGGGGCAGAGGTCAGATTTCTCCCTGAAAGACCTGTCTGAATCAAAGTAAGTGCCTACAGGCATCATAAAAAAAAAGGTCACCTCATTTGTTAAAGAATAAAGTATCATGCCAGGCGGTGGTGGTAGCACACATCTTTAATTCCAGCACTAATGAAGCAGAGGCAGGTGGATCTCTGCTCTACAGAGAGAGTTCCAAGAGAGCCAGGGCTACAAAGAAACTCTGACTTTTGGAAGAAAAAAAGGAAAGAATAAAATATCACAAGGGTAATAGTGCCTAGAGCCACTAACTTGGTAATTAATGTAAGTAATCAAAATATTCTAAAGAAGGGGCATTTCTGGCAGTGATGGGTAAGAGGGTAAAAAGAGGGGGAAATCTTTATGCGTTGTCTCTGCTAGAATAAAAAAGGATGCCTGTAAACACTAGAACTGCCTTCTGTGTCAACTTCATAATAATTATTGAGAGAGTTATAAAATTAGATTATCATATAACCTTCTCATACTCAGTAATTAACTATTCAAAATTCACTTATGTAGGAGAACAAAAACACTGAATTACGTGACTCAATTGCAGGCCTGTGTGGAGGAAAAAGAACTTAGGCAGACACTGGGCATTTTCTACCACCTTAACACAGTAAGCCTTCAAAAATAAATGGTTACTTCTAAACACAGACATCACTGCCACAAGTGTATGTATTTGTAGAGATGTATACAATGTAAAAGTAGATTAACTTTTCAATATCCCACATAAATTAAATATACAGCATGTGCATTATTAAATATGTCACATTAATATTGTTCAACAGAATTCAAAAGTACATATTACTACTATTAGATATAGATAGAATAAACAAGAATATTTAAATATTTCTTTCATTTGGATGACAATTTCGTCAAAATCCATACATATAAATAAAAGACAGCTTACCTCTGCAACCTTCAGAAACTCTGAGATTCTTGTCATTCTAGTCAGGAACTTCTTATAGATGTCAAGACCTTCTTTGCACTGGTTCTTTTTCATATCAAAATATTTTTCTGCCCAAAGAAGTAACAAAAATACTCTTAGTTAAAGTTTACTTAAACAGGAAAAAGATTAGGCCGTGTCTCCAGAAAGATCCTAATACTCTCAAAGGACTTACCCTACAACAAATGTAGGGCTACATTACCTTGAGCAATGCACTAGGAGGGTTAGGACGTCAGCAATTGAGAACTGACTGGAGTGTACTCCCATGACTATTTGTTCACAGGACTGCTATGGGATATTTATGTGTAAACACATGTTATTCCACTTAAAACACTAAAATCTGTTTCAAAATACTTTACTAATAACATACCAATACTAACATTCTAGGATGGCAACTTCACCCAATGTCACTTCAAAAGCTCCCTTAAATTTCATCTGTACACAGCAGTAAGAGCTTCACATTTACCAATCATGAAGTCGATGACGATGACTTCCACAGCTTTGTATGAAAAATAAGTATAATTTACCTGTCCTCTTGGATTAAATCACCCCTCCTTATATTAATGTTGTCCTAGTCTATGGAAACCACATTTCAATAAACTTTCAAAGGGTCGGGGGCATACAAAATAAAAATACTTGGCATCTGATACTTAATACCTTCATTTTCTACTCCATTAAAACCTCAATTTAAAAAATAAAAGAGGGGCTGAAGAAGTAGTTCAGAGGTTAAAAGCATTTGCTGTCTCTTAACAGAATTCTGTCCCTGCCACCCACGTCAACCGGCTCACAACTAACTGTGTGCAACTCTAGCTCCAGGGGATCCATCTAGCCTCCACAAGCACCTGAACACACAGGTGTTGCACACACATAGAGATTAATAGACATTAACAATTAATAATGCATTGCTAATAATAATATATAGTGTTAATTATAAATAATAGTATTTAATTTTAATACCTGCATATTAATGGATTTTTATATTAATGGAAACAAAAGTATCGATTAACAAAAAATATTTAAAAGGTACCTTTCTATGCAAAATTAACTATTTCAAATACATCTCGCTATGTAAGAAAACATCATAAATTTCTAAAACACCCCAAAGTAAAAAGTAACCCATGTTGCCCGGCTTAAAAATAATTATTAATTTCAAATTTAAGTTTAGGGACTAGGGATACAACCCAGAAATAAAACATAATTTATTAACATCCAAGAAACCCTGGAATTAATCCCCAGTACACATGCATGTGCCTCAAATTTAGGATAAAATATATATACACATATTAGTTTTACAAGGTTCATTGTAGAATAAATATTAAGGCAATATACTTTTTCTGAAACAAAGAACTAAGAGGTGTTTCCATTTAAGTACACATAACATAAAATGTATTATCATGCCTAACCTAACTTTACAGATTTAAGTATTTCTAAAAATAAATGAAACAGTCCAAAAAATTACAACTATATTAAAAAAAGTTTAACTAATAGCTGAATATTCTGGTTATAAAAATGAGAATTTAGGTCTGGAGAGATGGCTCAGAAGCTAAGAACACTGATTGTTCTTCCAGAGGTACTGAGTTCAATTCCCAGCAACCACATGGTGGCTCACAACCATCTGTGATGAAATCTGGTACTCTCTTCTGGTGTGCAGGTATACATGCAGGCAGAATGCTGTATACATAATAAATAAATAAATAAATGAATGAATGAATGAATGAATGAATGAACAGATCTTAAAAAAAAAGAGAATTTACCTACTTGTGTGGCTATACATGTAAATGATTATGTTCAGGAATAAATCTTTTCTCCAAATACATATTTGACATGTGTCAAAATGGACTTCACAACAGCATAAGCAACTATAGTATTACTAGTTCACAAAGTTATCTAAGATATCGCAGTACTTACCCAATAAATTAATGATTCCTTCATTATATGCTGCAAAGAGTCTAATGGCATCTTTGAACAGGAGCATGAAGGCAGCATTTATTACCCCATTTGTGAGTTCATTACTATTAACCTAGGGGAAATGGAAAATAAGATCAGCTTATCTCATATTTTAAATGACACTAACAAAATGGATTTTTTATTACTAGTAAGACAATAAATTAAAACACGTCAGCTTATTAGAAAGAGTGTATTTTGCCTAGGATATACATTACACATAAGTTTTCCAACACATGATTGTGAGAAATCAGAATTATAGGCAAATATTGTAAAACTCTAAGAAAAAAATAAGAAAAAAAAACAAACAGCAAAGAGCAACTTCTGAACATTCATTGTAGTTTAGAATTTACTTAGAGTGAAAAGGCCATTTACCTCAACTCTTGAAATCACTCACCTACATCTCAAGCCTCTTATATAACTTTATTATAACACTAGAGGTTTACAAAGCGTGCACTAAAAACCTATGAGAAGAGCAAGTAAAATTTTCTATACAATAAAGTATAACACAGACTCTAAAACAAGTAAATAATTTCATAAAAACACCAAACTATGTACTAAGTGAAACATACGTGGTTGGACCTTCTGAGTCTCTATATAAACCAAAATAATGTTCTCTAAACAGCAGTTTCCTATGTCTTCGAGCAAGAGCTTTTCTTCCTTTTTATGAAAGGAAAGATTTTAGGCTCTGGGAATTATGTTCTCTTCTGCAACTAACCCAGCACTATAGAAAACCAGCAAAAGCAGTATGCAAACCAATCAAGAACCTGCCTATGGGTCACTAGTGCTATTGTGAACACTGAAATTTTAATTTCATAAAATTTTTAAATGTCACAAAACAAAACCTTTTCAAATATATAAAAATGATAAAATCATTCTCAAGTCACTAGTTAGTTATTATAGCGTGACACTTTCTAGTCTATGAAACAAACACATGAGTAGTTTGCTGAACATTTCCTTTAGTCAACACTCACTACCCAAATAACATCATTTAAAACTTACAGGGAACCTTGTCTCGAAAAAAAAAAAAAAACAAAAAAACAAAAAAACAGCCGGGCGGTGGTGGCGCACGCCTTTCATCTCAGCACTAGGGAGGCAGAGGCAGGCGGATCTCTGTGAGTTCGAGACCAGCCTGGTCTACAAGAGCGAGTTCCAGGACAGGCTCCAGAGCTACAGAGAAACCCTGTCTTGAAAAACAAAAACAAACAAACAAAAAAAAAACCAAAACCAAAAACAAAACAAAAAAAAACCTTATAGGGAATAAAATGCAAGTCATAGCAATCTATCATAAATGAAATTTGAATCTCCTCTTATTTCTAAGTAGCTGTCATGCTGTAAGTCCTACCAAACAAAAGGGAAATATTGAAAAGGTTGTGCACGTTTTTTAAATCTACAGTTCCTGTGAAGAATTTTAAGAAAGCACTTTACCCATCACTTGTTTTAATCTGTATGAACTAAAATTCTAGCACCAAAGAAAGCCCTAACCACTAGCCAAACATTATTACAACATAGTAAAAAATTATGAAGACTTGGGGATAAAGTTATGATTATCTAATTTTTAGTAATTTTGAATTACAAAAGCATATCAACTTACATTAAAATCAAGAAGTGCATCCATTTGGTTCTGGATGATTGGTACAGTTTTTAAGAGTTTTTCCGTGTTCATTGTTCTCATAACTCCATCAGCCCTATTAAGAAAATAAACCAAAATAATTCATCATTAAATCTCCCATTTGCCTCTATTTAAATAACAAAACTGTGATGAAATATCATATATTTTTAAGTTATTACTGAACTCTGTATCTCAAGTAAGGATTATATAAAAAGAAATGTAAAACCAACAGCCGGAAACTAGTGCTACCAGCTGTATATGTACAGAGATGGCTCAGTAGTTAAGTGCACAGGTTGATCTTCCAGGGGCCTAGGTTCTGTCCTTAGCACCCACATAGCAGCTCACAACCATACATAGTCCCAGATCTAGGTGATCCAAACCCCTTTTCTGGTCTCTGTGGGCATTAGAAAAAAAGAAAAAATATTGTACACACATACAAACAGGCAAAATATCCATTCAGATAAAATACTATTTTAAATGAAAGTGAAGGTTTACATTATACAGCCAGGTAGACTGTATAGTTATCACAAGAAATGGCAGGAACCTCAGTCATCATTACATGTAAAGGCAGATTTATACTTCTTTAAAAGCAAAAGAAAACTACTGCCAGAACCCACTAAACAATTAAGTGCTACAGAGTCATGAGTTAATTCTATCTAATTGATTCATAGCCAGGTTTGTAATGTCAGTTCATAAATAGACAGGACAGGAGTATCACAACCTCCAGGGCAGTCTGTTGCAGAAGAACTTCAAACCTCTGGCATCTGGCAGCTGGTGAAGTGAGTTTAAAGCACATTTCTAGATTTCTAATTCTCAGGACCCGAGTTCCAACCCTAGAGACTCGGGTGTAAGCCCAGGACCAACTCCTAACAGCTGTCTTCTGACCTCCACACACACCAGGGCACATATGTTTAACAGTATTCACACAACAGTGAGAATAGGTGAAATTATGGAGAAAGGATTCTGATCATGTAACTCAGCAGTAGACTGCTTGCCTAGCACGTACCAGCTCCTAAAGAGAATCCCCAATACCAGGGAGGGAAGGAGCATTGTTTAGGAGTCAAACATCAAAGTCTTTTCAAAGAAAATTACAAAGAAGTCAGTTCTACAAAAGTATTTTTTATCAAGTCACTCTAATCAAAGCCCTACTAGGAATAATGTCAACAACTTACAAAACGCAAAAGTTTAATGAAACAAACACTGGACTGCCTCAGCCAGCTGTTGATCAGTTTCATCCTGGTTAGTTTCACTAATGTACCTATCAAATGCTTGGTACTGTTTTCTCTTAGGTACCACACTGATTAGTAGCAGTTGCTGGAATCTGAGAGAACACAATTCCTGTTTGTAGGTTGTTCTTATAACTATCACACTCTTCCCAGAAACCGTAACTTTTATTTATTCCCTTCTTGCTGACGTCATCTTTTAACTTTCTGGACATTTCTCCATCACAGATACCTTAAATTTTGTCTCAGACTTCTTGGTTTAACATCTAAATGAACAACCAATACAACTCTTTATCTCAAAGTCTCTTTTACAGCAGCCTGCGGTACTCACATCATTCCAACCCCTGGCTCCCAAATGGAAAGGACTCAACTGATACTGCATTTTATGACACTAACTGGAACCTCACAACTCCTCTGACCAAACAGCACTACTGCAAACATTCTCTTGCTAATACTTCATTTTCTTCCACCTTTCTCCCTTGCAGTCAGTCACTCTGCAAATTCATGACCTTGGATGAACAAATAATTCATTACTATCCATACTTGAAGGCGGGGGATGGTGGCGCACGCCTTTAATCCCAGCACTTGGGAGGCAGAGGCAGGAGGATCTCTGGGAGTTCGAGACCAGCCTGGTCTACAAGAGCTAGTTCCAGGAAGTAACTATCCATACGTGACCACATAAGAAGCCACACAAGGGATGCAGTCGATGGCATGACAGCCTAGCGTGCATAATAAACTCATCAGTTTTTAAAAATCACACCACTGGCCAAGCTGGAAGACACATAAATTCATGATTATCAACTTCACAAAGATAGGAAAGATTTCCACCAATCCTTATAGTCTAATTAGAGAACTCCAAAGTATCTTCAAACTTCCCTCTACTTGTGTCTTAGCTACCACCTGAAACTCTCAGCTCATTAACTCTCAAAATGTCTCATTCAGGAACAGTCACATGGAAAACAGTTTATTGAACAGGGTGCAGGGAGTAAGAAATCAGACTCCTAGGAACCTTTTATTACAATCTTCTACAACGTGTCTAAACATGTAACATAAAAATCTGCACAAGTTAGAGTTTGGTAAAATAATCCACCTCTCGACTCAAACCGGTTATAAAAAAAAGACTTGATTTCACCATTTAATATCTTGCACATGCCTACATTTTTCTTAAGATTTCTACTTTAGGCCAGGTTGTGGTAGCACATACATTTAACGCAAGCACTTGGGAGGCAGAGGCAGGTGGATCTCCAAGTTCAAGGGCCAGCCTGGTCTACAGACTAAGTTCCAGGACAGCTAGAGCTACACAGAAAATCTGTATACAAAGTAAGTACAAAAACAAACAAAATTCTACTTTACTTAAATTGTCTATAATTTCAAGAACAAGCTGAAGCACACAGCAGCCATTCAGATCTCTCAGACGTGGAAACTGCAGGCATTTTAGCTGGGAAAGGATTCACCAGAAATTTCTGTGGGCATCACACTCACTGTTCCTTTAAATGCTCAATCACATTACAAGAACAGCTGCTCACTTATGTTCATAGCAGCATTATTTGTCATAGCCAGAATATGGAAACAACCTAGATGCTCCTCAATTGAAGAATGGATAAGAAAATGTGGTACATTTTCACAACGGAGTACTAGTTAGCTGTTAAAAACAATGACATCGGGGCTGGAGAGATGGCTCAGTGGTTAGGAGCATTGCCTGCTCTTCCAAAGGTCCTGAGTTTGATTTCCAGCAACCACATGGTGGCTCACAACCATCTGTAATGAGGTCTGGTGCCCTCTTCTGGCCTGCAGGCATACACACAGACAGAACATTGTATACATAATAAATAAATAAATAAATAAATAAATAAATAAATAAATAAATAAATAAATAAACAAACAAACAAAAACAATGACATCATGAAATTTGAAGGCAAATGGATAAACTAGAAAAAAAAATCATCCTGAGTGAGGTAACCCAGACCCAGAAAGACAAACATGGTACGTACTCACTCATAAGTGGATATTAGATATAAAGTAAATGATAGCCATGCTACAATCCACAGACCAGAGAGGCTAGATAACAAGAGGGCCCAAGGGGGTATGCGTGGATCTCCCAGGGAAGGTGAAATAGAAGCGATCTCGTGGGTGGTCTGGGTGGGGGCAGATAGAGATGAAAACATGAAAATCAGGTGGGGTGAATGGAGGGTAGGATATTGAAAGAGATGACCAGAAAAGGGGGGGGGGGATTTTCAGGGTCATATAGAAACCTGGAGCAAAGGAAACTCCCAGCAGTCTACAAGGATGACCCAGCTAAGACATCCTAATCTGGCCTTCTGTGACCAGGCAGTACTTCCAGTGGAGGGACTGGAACGCTGGCCTAGCCACACACCTTTGACCTACATTCTGTTTGCCTAAATAAGTGTGGAGGTGTTAAGCATGGCATGGAGATTGTGGGAGTAAGCAACCAATGACTGGTCCAGCCTCAGACCCATACCATGATAGTGACCCTACACCTGTCACGGCCTGGAGTGTCAGGACCCAGAGGCTGGATGACCCAGAGACCTAAGATAGAACTAAACATGATTGGAGGAGAAAAAAAGAAAAAAAAAGCAAAAGAAAAAGTCAACATAATGATGACTAAAGATACTCTACAATACTTTCAGATCGGTGACTACCCCAGCTGTCACCAGAGTCTTAATCCATCACCTAATGGAAACAGACAGAGATCCATAGTCATGCATTGGGCTGAACTCAGGAATCCTGCTGAAGACAGGGAGGAAGAATTGTACCAGCCAGGGTTGGTCAAGAACATCACAAGGGAACCCACAGAAACAACTAACCTGGCCTCTTAGGGGCTCAGAGACTAAACTGACAACCAGAGAGCCTGCATGAGAACAACATAGGCCTCCACATATGTGTGACAATTGTGTGGTTTGGTCTATTTATGGGACTCATAGCTGTGGGAGCAGGGACTGTCCCTAACGCTTTGGCTGGTTCTTGGAACTAGTCCTCATACGGGGTTGCCTTGGCCAGCCTTGATACAAGTGGACAAGCTTGTTAAGCCATGCTCTGTTGATACCCCTTCCTGAACAGAAGAAACTGAGGAGGAGTCGATTGGGGGAGGGATGGGGGGGTGAGAGGAGAAAAGGGAGGGGAAACTTCATTAGAATGTAAAATGAATAAATACATTTAAAAAAAAAAATCTACGGCGGCTCTTTCCTGAGCTCCCATGATACAGCCTAAGGGGAAAAGCTGCCTATATATAAAATACTACTAGACATCAAAGTACTGGTCACACTATTCATGTCATAGTTCTTATACTTAGATGATCAGTACTCAGAATGCAGAAAAATTAAACTCAACTTTTACATGCATGTTGTCTCAGAACATAAAAATTCAATCCTAAGCACACATGTAAGGGTAGAAAAAAGATCCAATTTCATAAAGTTATCTTCTGACCTCCACATATGTACCATGGCATACACGGCTCCCACCCCACCATGCACACATGATAAATAATTTTTGGGGAAAAAAAATGTAAGTGGACACGGTAAGTCCTGGCCTGAGAGCTGCAGTCACTCCCAAAGCTATCTTCCCCCAAGTGACTTATAGCAGCATGTTCCCAGCGGCAGGGCCTAGGATCCAAAGGGCCTGCAGTCCTCAGCCCTAGGATCCAGAAATGAGTTTTCCTGTGACACAAGGACCCTTGGCCTTCTGCCTAGCTTTGCCTAGATTTTGGTTTAAGACGCAGAGCTGAGCAATCCCAGCCCAAGTGCTTAAACTACATCAGGGAGTTTCATCATGAGTTGCCATGGGAGCACAGCAGCCAGGGTGCTCTTTACCACTTCTTCAGACCTAAGGGTCAAGAACTGATGAGCAGCTGGGTTATGCACCTTTGGAACATTTAAGACCATTGGAACAGTCATACAATGCAAATGGTATCTGCTGCATCCATCTAAATCCTTGTACTATGACAACGCTATTTCTCCCTCCCCCAAACACCCCCCAGTGCGGGTTAGGGATAGGGTTAGGGGTAAGAGTAAGGAAAACTGATTTCCCCGCCTCTCTCCTCAATCACTGGATTACAGGCATATGCTATCACAACCAGCTATATATGGTAAAGGAAAGAACAAACAGAAAGATACCCTATGTTTATTAGAAACTAAACATACTACAGGTGGTGAGACTGCCCAGACAGACCGGCACATTTAGTGACCCCTACTTCTAAAAGCCTGGCTGCAAGCAAGGCCAGGCAGGACACAGGAGGCAGAAGCAGACAGATTTCTTGAGAATTCAAAACCAGACAGGGAAACATGAGGCCCTATCTCTAACCAAAAGAACTAATTAAAATTCTTGACTGATTTTTTTTTATACCAAAACTGACGTACTAATCCTAAAATTCCCATGGAATCACAAGGCAACCAGAAAAACTGAACATAATCAATTGAGTGGGTGGGGAACAGGGATGGGGCTGGGGAAAGAAACTACAAGAAATAAAATCACACAGTAGGGTTATGGCAGATAATCTTGTAAACATACTAAAATTGGTTATAAAATTTAAAAGGATGAATTTTTAATCATGAGAACTCTAACTCAATAAAGTTGTTAAAAAGATAAATAGAACTTTAAAAAATCCTACTACAGAAAGTATATAGCATTCCTCCAAAGAAAAATAAAGTTTAGCTATAGACCTGGGCAAAGTTCTGTAATTCACATTGTATAATTCCTGTTTTATGGTATTTGATATTTGAATTAGAGATAAAAACATAACTCACCCTCTTTTCACTTTTGTGAAATCGAATGCAACTTGTCTGTATGAAACTGCCTTTTCATTTAGATACCTACTATACCGCCTAATAAATGTAGACATATCATAGCCTGCAAAACAAAGTTTTCGTGAATGATTAAAATCTAAAGTTTACTAAAACAACTTTATTATTCAACAGCACAATATGTTATCCTAACTATATTCAGTGATACAAATTAAGTAATACTAAGTTTCATACTAAATTCTTTAGAATTTTTAGACTCAGATGTATCATATAAGGATTTAAATTTTTTTCCTTTACAATTTCACTAAAAATATATCTATTTTGTTTCATTTGGCCCACACGCCTATTCTTTACTTTTCACGAGTTAGAAAAATGTTTTCTTTCACAATTTAAGAATCTCAGAACTCAAATTTAACACTTTTAACACTCAGCAGAACCATAATTCCATCCTTCAAATCAAATGAAGGTTCTGTTTTTATACTTGTGAAGTCTTTAGCTGTGTATTATTTAGGAAAAGTGTAACACACATGTACCAACCATGTAAGAAGTATGAGAAGCATTGTCCAATAAAAAGGACAGTTATATGTATGATGAAGGCGCAACCAGTTTTATGTATAGTTTCAAAAAAACCTTGCTAATTCATATAAATCACTCTAACACTGCTTCATCATAATCAGCAACATAAAGCTTTACCAGTATATTTTTTTAAGATACTAGAAACCTTGTATTTTAGCAACTGTCTAAGTCAAAGGTCTATAATTTTTGCTTCTCAATGAAAAATAGGTCAGTTTCTTTTAACTTGGCTTGTTCAGATTTAATTTGACTTGATATCTGCTTTACAAAAGACAATAATAACCACACACATATGATTTGATTTCGATGTGACACCTACCAATCTGCAAGTGTTTAGTGACTGCTTACTAAAAAGTCAGAACAAAACAGACAAGGAAGAAAAATGGAATTACTGCTGCCGCTTGCTCGGCTCAGACCTGCTAATATACTTTATAAAACATCTTGGGTTTTTGGTCCATGTTGCTCCGTTCCATCCCCTTACCTATTATTCTTCCTTATCTTGAGAGGGAAATACCTCTTGCTCTTCAAACCTCAACTGATCTTATTGCTAAAATCTTTATAGAATATATATTTGTTTGTTTTGGTTTGTCAAAACAGGATTTCTCTGTGTAGCCCTGGCTGTCCTGTAACTCACTCTGTAGATCGGGCTGTCCTCAAATTAAAGAAAATCACTTTTCTCTGCCTCTCAAGTGCTGGAATTAAAGGTGTGTGCCCGAACCACCTAGCTAGAATATAAGTCTTTAAAATATATATAAGTGTGTGTGTGTGCGTTTGCACGTGTTCTGGTCACTCCATGCATATGGAGGCCAAAAGACAACGTGCAGAACTCTGTTCATTCTTTCCACCATGTGGATCTGGGGATCAGGTTTGGCAACAAGCACCCTTACCTACTGGGCCATCTCACCAAGAATATAAACAACTAATCTACCTCCTCACAAAAAGAATAAACATCTAAAAATCTAACTTTACATAATTTCTGGACCTTGAGAGAAGCCTATATGGTTAAGAGGCCCAGTTGCTCTTCTAGAGAACCAAAGTTCAATTCCTAGCACCCACACAACAGCTGACAATCATCTATAATTCTAGATTCAAGGGATTCAATGCCCTTATCCAGCCTCTGCAGGCACTGCAAACATTGGCAGAGAGACATACATGCAGATAAAACACCCACACACATAAAATAAAAATACAAGCTAGAAATAGTAAAACGAAATAAATTTATTTCATTTTCATCTCAAGGAAATGAAAATTAGTAACTAATGAGACAAAAACCAACGGGATGTATGTATACTCTATAGTCGTTGCAGCTTTTTCCCTCCTACAGACTTAAAGTAAAAGTTAACTAAGAGCTAAGAAACATCAATAAAAAAAATCTCCAAGAAAAGCTGGATGTGGTGGGCTATATCTATAATCCCAGCACTTGAGAGGTTGAAGCAAAGGACTTCCAAGAAGTTCAGGTCAGCCTGAACTACTGAGACCCTGTCTCAAAACACAAACAAACAAACAAACAAACAAAAAAACAAAACAAAAGTGAAAACCAAAGCAACAAAAGTGAAGGGAGAAGACAGCAAACAAGCAGTTTCTATCTTCCCTGAAAGGGGTGCCCCATTTTACTACACCATCAGTCTGTTCTATCTTTTTTTATTTTTAAAAATATTTTTAATATTACAAAATGGGGGTATTGCTGATTACTCCCCCATGTCCCTCTTATTAAAACAAATTGAACGAGGGGCTGAAGAAATGGCTCAGAGGTTAGGATCTCTTGCTACTCCTACAGAAGCTCAGAGGGCAGCACTCACAATCACCTCCAACTCCAGTTCCATGGGATCTGATGCCCTCTGTCTTCTTTCAACTTCTGAGGGAACCCACATGTGTGTGCATATATACACATAACATAAATAATTTTCTTTTAAAATTAAATAATACTAATGAAATTCTGTTACCACTGGGTCTTATGCACTTAACTTATATTCCAGAATTACTGGATGCATATTCATTTTAAGCAATATTTCTTTCCATCCATGCTAAGTCATACTCCATTTAGCAAAAGGAAACAAGCATCAAACTAAATACACTAAATTTTTCTTATTTTGCACTGTAAGAACCATAGTCTAGGCTCTCATTAACTTGATACTAGGATGGAGCAATGCCTAGAACAGTCTCAATGGCTTAAAAAAAAAATTCAGTGTATTCTGATCCAGCTTGACCTTCGGCTGTTTCCTTGTAACATACTTGCTTCTCCCCTACAAAAATCCTTTCCTAGTTCTCTACTACATTATAAAATTTAAGCCCATCAAAGTCTTCTGTTTGGTTTTGGTTTGAATAGCTTCTTGAGGGCTGTTTACCACTACGCATGTTCTCTAAGGTGTCACGCATACTCATTTTTCCTATCAATCTTAAATATTTCACATCATCTGTACAAGTGTACTTAGATTAAGAAATCTCTTCCACTTCTCAAAGCCCTAAACAGGTCTCACATTCTCTGAAGATCATATTTCCCAGACTGAAACTCACTGTTAATATTCCCAAATAGGTTAGCAATCCTTTATGCGGCCTTCCCAGCTCTGGCAGTCTAGACTATGAATATCCAGTTCTAGACAACAGACCCCATTAAGACAGAATGGACAGAGGTGGCAATTTAAAGTGATCAGACTCCAAGAGAAGCAAAGGGAACTGTTAGAGACGAACAGGAGGCATCAGGTGGGAGTGTTCAACTCACACTCTGCACATGTGTAAAAGTGCTGTTACATAGCACAGTAACAAATATTTAAATATATACAATGAAAACCCTTTTAAAGATAAATAAAAAAGGAACAACCATGCTATCAATGTCAATTAACACTATATTCAATTTTGTCCCTATAATGTACAATGTCAACCATATTTCTTGTGATAAAACAAATCCAAAAAGCAGCAGTAACATTTAAGGTAACTAGTTAGTGTGCCTGGCATTATCCTAAGCACTTTAGGGTTGGTTATTAACTAGGCTTACTGAGCAGTGACTATCCTTATTTGTAATTTTATGGACAACAACACAGAGGTAAAGGAAACTTGGTCAAGTCCATGTACTCTAAGTGCTACAGCACAGGCAGTGCAGCTCCAGAGCCCATGTTTGCAACGCCCCCGCCCCGTGCTGCTCTCAGAGACTCAAGTGTTAACTATGACAACAACCTTAATACCAAATTAGAAGACATTCACTCAAGTGTGATCTGAAGCATCAATAAGTTAATATAGTTGACTGCTGCAATAATCATTATTTGGGGTTACTCGGGTTTCTAGAAAACAAAAAAAGTCTTTACCTTGCAATCCACTTTTATCCAAAAAATTGCTTAAGTTAAACAATGTGTTCCTTGAAGCCAAATACTGTATGAAACGCTGGAAAACAAACAATTATAAAAAATTATAGTGCTGCCATCTTACAAACTTTGAATTTGCAAGTAGAAGGAAAGAGATGGTTAATATATTAAGTGAGCTTATTTCAATTTCCCATCCTCACTCTCATTAGTTACCAAACATAAAAACATAATTTTCATTAGTACATTTATTACCAACCATCTAATGACCACAACTACAATACTAAAGACAAAATAATTGAATGAATTAAGTACTACAATCAATAATTCTGTCTTCGCTATAGCATAGTAGTACACAGATAAGTATAACCAGATCATATCTGTACTTTAACTCATTTATTCTGTTTTTGTATGACATGTCAAAGCACATATATGGAGGTCAGAGGACAACTTTTGTGGGTCAGTTTCATCCTCCATCATGCAAGTTCTAGAGAACAAAAACTTAGATACTTGCTTCACCTACTGAACTGTCTCACCAGCCCTCCTAAATATGTTTATTATTATCTCTCTCTCTTTTTTTAAGGCAGAGCCTCAGAAGTTATTTCACACAGTTTCATTGTAAGCATTGGATTCTGGGGATCCAAACTCAGGTCTCCAACTTTGCACAATAAACACTTCACTAACTGAGCTACCTCTCCAACTCCACTATCTAGATTTTTGGTTACCCCAATTTTTGTGATTTTTTAAAAAAGAAAATATTCTTAAACACACAAGAGAATGTTAAAGGTTACTTCTTATCCACTGACTAGGTTAAACACATTAAAATACTCATTTCAGAGCTTATGATACAATCACAACATCGCAGACTCCATTGAAAACAGCTCTATAATCTCATTTCCTCCTTCCCTCATTAAAAGTGACTACTCTGTTAAAGCAGGCATAGCTTCTGACAATTTCTGCATGCAAACACTGATGCAAGTTTGTACTCTCTCTGAGATTTACAGCTATGTGCACTGCACTCCTCAGACTCCTGAGCCTAAGGAAATAGGATGATGAATCTGAGACAAGCCCTGGCTACAACAGAAAAGTTCTATATCCTGCAATGTCAAATATCTACCCAAAACTTGAGTTATTTTTAAACAATTTCTCTTCCTCATTTGTTGTGTGTTCATGATAGTGTGGGGTGAGGTGGGAGGTAGGTGAGAATGCACAGTGCACATGTTGGAGGCTGCAGGAGGACGGTTTGCAGGGCAGGGTCCCTCCATCCAGCATGTGCATACCATGTACTGACTTAGACTGTCAAGCTTGAAACTTTCACCTGCTGAGCTACCTTACTAGCCCCATTCTTTATGTAAATATTAAAAAGCATGTTTACTCAATATGCAAACTTACTTTTTAATAAATGATAGTTTTATATAAAATTGTTTTAAAATATATTTCTTATTATCAGCAAATAGATTTATATACCTGATTTCTTTTACATTTTTTTATACTTTGTATGTGTGTACCCATACACAATCCAACCCTTGTAGGGGTAAGAAGACAACTTTGTGCAGTTATTCTCTCCTCCTAAAATGTGAGACCTGGGGATATAGTTCAGGTGCCAACCTTGGTAGCAAGTGCCTTTACCCACTAAGCCATTCTACAGACCCTGTTCACATATTTTATATACCCATATACCTGAGATGACATAAAACTCTCTTGGGCAAAAAGGAACCATGAGTGGAAGAGTTTAAGAAGCCTTTGCTAATTCTACTTATTTATTATGGTATTTCCAGAACACTAACAAGAAATGTAAAGTAGATAGAAATGACTTGTTCAAGCCATTTAGCTATTATATGGAAAAAAGGGATGGGAGGTCCTAGTAATCCCATGTCAAGACCCTATGACACAGAATCAACCTTTAAAGATCTTCTGAGAGTCTTGGTTTCTCCACTTCACACTAGTGGGAATTGGGACAGCTCATTCCTTGTTTCTATTTTAGCTGCTTGGTATGGAACAGCCATGACGTCTACCTACCAGCCAATAGTAGATCTCTTCTACTTGTAAACAAATGTTGAAACATTATATCCTTCCCTATTAAGAGCTACCATTCTACAGTATTCTAATCACCACAGCATAAAGGAATCCTACGTACACCTCACAGAATACAGAGTTGCCAGTAGATAAACCTGAGTTGAGAATAAAAGAAAGAGAGAAGGGGCAGAGGAGAGATTGGGGGAAGCAAAGCAAGGCAACTCCCTTAGCTGCTCTAGGGAAGTACAAAGTACAGCTATGTGCTATCTTTCTCCTGTCTGTTAGCCAACTGTTAGAAACAGCAGTCAACTTTCTATCTTGCTTTTAGCAACGTTAGTCTGCATACTACTGCCTCATCTGAAACTACACTCATAGAACATTACAACATCTGAATATACTACCATAAATTACTACATCTAAAACCTAACACATACTTTTCTGCCTCTTTCCTGGAATTATAGTTGGCTGTATTTGTAGCTCCTGAATTCTGCAGAATAAATACCTCTAAGCAAACACACATGTTAAAAGTAGAAACTATTATTGTAGTTGAGACTAAGATGTTTTGAGTTACATTTAAGTAGCATACCCAAACACTTCAACTGGATCTATGAACTGGCTGGAATGGGTTCAGAAGCAACTGGGTAACATATGCCCTTAACAGTTGCTGCGTTATTGACTAGTACACATTTTAGGCACCACCACAGAATGCCATTTTTAAAAACTACAAACAAATCTCCGTATGGTGCTATAATATGAATACCCCAAGAAAACTGAGGGAAAAAAGTTAATTTTACAGGCAGTGGTTGTGCACTCCTTTAATCCCAGCGCACTCAGGAGGCAAAGGGAGACAGGGCTCTTTGAGTTCAAAGCCGGCCTGGTCTTGAAAAAACCTGTTTCAAAAAAGGGGGGTGGGGTGGGATGGGGGATGGGCTGGCTAGAGAGATGGCTCAGTGGTTCTGTTCTTCCTAAGGATTCAGGTTCAATTTCCAGTACCCACATGGCAGCTCACGACTCTCTGTTACTATATAGTTCTAGGGGATTTGACACCCTCACACAGGCAAATCACCAATGCACATAACAGAAAGATAAATACATTATTAAAAAAATAAAAAAGTGAAATATAAAACTATTTGATGATGACAAACAATACGGAATATGGTGATACTTATAACAAGTAGAACACAGAAACAAGTCAAATACAGTTTTGTATCCAAAGTATGATTATTGCTATAAGAACCACGAGGGAATAAAAAAAACGTGCCAGGAGTTAAGATTTGTTGGAATAATGTAGCTGCACTGGTATCTGTCACAGAAGAGGAGAGTTTCTCCTGACCCAGAAGCCTAAGATGGTAGTAAAATGAGAGGTGACAGAAAACCGTGAGGCTCAGTAATCAAACAAGACAAAAACGTCTTTCTCATCCTTGAGAAGCATCTTTTCTTTCCAAATTACTCAGCAATATAGATCTATCTAGTTTAATTCAATCATTCCACAGCAGCTTAATTAAACACTACGTCACAATAAGTAGAACAGCTGAGAAGCCCAAACAAGGTTAAGAACCAAAGACTGATAGGCTATCATGGAAAACAAGACGATCCTTTCCAGACAGAAAGCCCATCAAGGTCTCTCTGCAGGTCTTACTGGTTTACCCTTCTGAGCAGCAAAGGCACCAGGAACTTCTAAGATGAAGACATTCTTTACCAGTCCCTCTCAGCAAAATGTCATGTTAGTAGTCAACAGCATAACCCTCCACTAAACAAAATATTCCCAAAGACAACCAAATGCAGTCAAACAGCAAATCAATGGATGATAATAATAATAAAAATCAAGCAGATATAGACATATAGTTTATAACTGAAGACTAGAAAGACCAGTGCTGTTTACAGAACGTAGTGCTCAGAATTACCTCTGCTTCTCCATTTCATTACTAAAGCCCTGTATGCTCTGACCTATGCTCTACTTTCTAGTTTATTTCATTACTGTTCTTTAAAATGCGGAATCTAACGTCTTTATTTTTGGCCATATGACTTGCTCTTTTTATCTACATTCAGCTGCAGTAGTCACCATCTAAGTTTTAATGAGCAAAGCAAGTTAAATAATCAGTAATCACATCAATATACATGGTTTTTGATATACTTATCAAGTTTTCCTGGGCTGGAGATGTCTCAGCATGTAACTGTAGATGCCCTGCAAGCCTGATGACTTGAGTCTGACCCTGGAGACCCAACCTCCACACAATAACACAGTACTTTTAAAAGTGGTTCTTACCTCGTTTCCATACACCATCAAATGATGAGTTGTAATGAGTGACTTGAAGACCACCACCCAACTACTGTTAGTAGTTCTTTCAAACAAACTGTCTGCCAACTGTGGGATGTTCACATTCATCTCATTTGTACACTGAATTAAATCTGTAATAATAATAAAAAAAAGGTTAATCTCTAGTTTTAATTTACAGATTTCCATAATAGTTTGGACAAACTGTTAAAATTCTTTCAGGAGAGTTGGCAAGATACCTCAGCAGGTAAGGTCATTTGTTACTAAGTCTGATGACACAAGTTCAAAACTCAGGACCCAAAGGGCATGAGGAAGCTGGAACAAACACATACATACACATACACACACACACACACACACACTCATTTTCATATGCATGCACACTTGCTCATATACACAATGTAAATTAATTGACAATAAATAAATGTAATTAAGTTAAAAACCTCCTCAGGCAGAGTTAGAGAGCAGTACTGGTTAGCTTTACATAAATGATCAGTGTCGGAGTATTAAGCCAGTTCCCCTGAGTTCTACTCAGTGCCAAGTGGTTTATTCATCTCAAAAGGAATTGCTTAGGAGCCCTAAGAAGTCGTAGCTACCTTACTATCTATAACTTTCAAAGTTAAATTCTGATTATATTTATCCCTTTGGAGTAAAATCTGTAAGCTTTCCTTTAAAAAAAAAAACTTTCAAAAGAAACCCTGTATAGACACTGAGCAGGAAGACGGCTGGTCATCTGTACAAGTGTCTGCTCTATGGTCCCCTCTGTTCTAGTAGGGAAGGAGCAGAGAGACAATGTCTGTGACAGAGCAAATCTTAGTTTATGCGAACTATGGCTCATTCTTGTTCCCTCAATCCTACTGAGTTAACTCAGACAGCCATTCTTATCAGCTAGCTAATTCTGACAAACGAAACTGAAAAGATTCAAGTTTCCAAATTAAAAAGGATTATTACTGCTAAAGTTCCAATTTTATTTTTACTTTATGTATTTACTTATTTGAGGCAGGACCTCTCTACCCATCTAATTATTTATTTATTTGTTTTTTGAGGCAGGGTCTCTATGTAGCCCTGGAATCCAGGAATTACGTAGATCAGGCCTGGCCTCCAGCTCACAGAGAACTCGCCTGCCTAGGTGCTGAGATCAGGCATGTGCTACCACATCTGGCCTAATCTGATTCACTTCAAGCACAAAGGCATTATTATAAAATAGTCTAGCACACAACTGCTTGATTACCAAAATAGAATTCTTACTAGACCTCAAAGTTTTACCTGCAGTCTGCTTTAAAATTTTTAGTGGCAAATTCAATATAGGAAATCCCAACTATGATCCATTCTATAGAATAGAAAGGTAGAGTCAGATATGATTTGTTTTACCTTTAAAATGTGTATCATATATGATGTACAAATATGTCAACTATTATAATAAGGTTGTTGTAACGATCCATGACTGGATTAGTAACCTGTTCACTTTAACTGTTCAGTTGAAAATGACTAAATGGGAATTCAGATGACCTAGCTTGGCCTTGGCTGCTTGCAAGAAATGACAATGTAACCAAGAGTTACTTGCCTGCAATTCTTTAAAATGCATGCTTTAGTAGATCCAATTAGTAACATTTGCTGAACAACTCAAGTAGCTACCCAAGCCAATACTGCTTGAAGAACAAAGTACCACACAGTGAAACAGAAGGCCTACAGAACAGCTGAATGACAAAATCTTTCACAACTCAGATCAACTGTAACAAAAACAAAGAGTAAATTCAACTAGGGTGTGTATGGTCTGGCTTCTGAGACTTAAAAAAAATATGAAGGAATCCAATCTACCTTCACTACTACTTTGCACTTGTTCTACAGCACTGCATGCCTTAATGCTTGCTTTATTCCAAAGTCAATCTGCTGGGCCAACTCTACCTAGGACTGTTTACTTCTTTGTTTAAAGACTAGGTCTCCCTATATAGCCAGTCTGGCTCTACTTCCTCCTGCTTCAGCCTCCCAAGTATTGAGATCCTAAGTATATAACACCTGACTCTGGTCTGACCTGCTGTTTAGTCCCCCTTCCTTCCATTTAGCTTTACAGCCTTAGCTTTTTTTCTTCTATATCCTTCCAGAAGTTACCTTGAGAAACTACTCAAGTTCTGAAATATAGTAAACTACTGCCTCAAAGTATCATTCATTTTTTTTTTTTTGGTTTGGTGTTATATGTGATTTGTGTATGTTTTCATGTGGATATGTGAGCAAGTGCGTGCAAAGTCCACGCGTGTGGGCATGAACATAGGCCAGAGATCAATGCCAGGTGTCTTATCTATTGCTTTCCACATTTTTGGGGGGCAGGGCCTCTCACTGAACCTGTTTCAGCTTGACATCTTGCTGCCTCTGTGTCCCCCACCGTTAGGGTAAAAGGTACCCGCCTCTATGTGCAGCTATTTACGTGAGCGCTGGGACTCCAAATGCAGCTCCTCATACTTGTACAGCAATCCCCTTACCAACTGAGCCATCTCCCCAACCCCTTAGGCATCTTTCTGTTTCCAAAGTTAAACCTGCCATCAAGCTCCTCAAAGGTGCTCTTCCTACCTCTTCTCTGTGCCATCTGTTAATAGAGATATTCATTCTACACATCAGTAAGCTAAGCTTTCTCATGCCATCTCCTAAACCTCCAAAAAGGCTATCTCTTTATCTCAGCATGAAGACTCTGAATCCTCAATCTGAAATTGGGAAGGAGGTTACCACCACATGTAATCAATGTTGCCAGCATGAATATCAAAGGGGTAGATAAACTATTCTGCAAAGCACAACCATTACACCCACCACAACTAAAACTGCCAACAATGAACTGGGCATGGTAGTACATGCTGCGATCCAAGAGATAAGACAGGAGAATTGGCACTTGGCACAGTGAATAAGGCCAGTCAGAGATACAAACTGAGACTCCTCAGAAAACCAAAAAGACTACCAAAAATAAGGAACACTGTTCAGACTGGCTTCCCTACTTTTGGTAATAGCTGATTTAGTATCTCACCTACCCCACAATGCTAATCATTTTCTAAATGATACACAATGCTCTACAAAGCAACACTATCATTATCTAACCTAAATAAATGTCTTTTCTTCCAGCATGGGACAAGGGAATGCACTTTGCTACTATCTTTCACCAGCAGAACGCCTTTCCAATGCTCTGTGGTGCATTTGCTACTTCATACCTGAATCTTTTCATTCAAGTTCATTATTCAGAATATTGTTTTAGTGAAGAATTTCCTTCCACAAACTAAAGTGCCTTCCAAAGTCACTGACACTGGTACATAGCAACTCTACACTACCCAACTCTTTTCTACACCTAACCGACTTCCAGTCATCTTGTTCTACTAATCACCTCAAAAGGAACCTCCATTTCTTTATTCATCCAAGGTAAATAGCTACGGCTAAATAAAGTCTAGTTTAGTAGGAACACATTTCGGGCTCAACTACAGTGACACACATACACACAGTGGGTGTGGCATAAACTGTCAGTTACATGGGCATGTCTATACTGCACAGTACAGAGTATATAGCACGGATGTGCACACACTGTGGACAATCATACTGTGCTCCCTTAGGATCTGCTTTCCTTCTGTACATATTTGTTTCAGTTACCCCGATATCCTTCTCTGCAATGCGTCACAAATGCCAAATACCTCGGATGTTTGGCACTGTTCTTCCTTCTACTTGGGATGTTCTTCCCCCAGATACTAGTTTTCTCACTTTCTCTTCCTATAGATCCTTGCTGAAATGTCACATTCATCAGAAAAATGTCTTTGAATATTAATTCATATTAACACATACTTAGGACATCTCTTTAACTCCCTATCATCATTACCTACTCCACTATACACTTGTTACTATTTAACTCATCTTACTTTGTTTAATGACTATCTCTAAACTATTAGTTTTTGGGTGGACAGAGTTGCTTGAGCTCCACTATTTCCCCAGAGGTCTGAAACAATGCCACAATATAATAGTCACTCATTTCTCAAATAAATACATTTATCTTGGTATATATTTGTACATGTTCTTTTCTGACGACATATCTATTTATTTGGTCCAGGCTCACCTGACATTCCCATGTAGATAAGACTGAACTCCAACTTCCTGCCTGTCTTGCAAGTACTGGGAAGTAAAGGCATACCCTGGATACATATGTACACTTTTAAGAAAGCATCCAAATGAGCATGGTAGTTTGCCTCAAAGTCAAAACTGACAAAATAGAGAAGTCAAGTCCAGCCTGAGCTAGTGTGAGCTCAAAAAAAAAAAAAACCAACCAAACAAACAAACAAACAAACAAAAAAGGAGTGAGAAGGGAAAAGAGGAAGGGTTAGGAGGAAGGAGGCAGGAAGAACCCATCCACCACACTGGCAGGTTACAGCTATTTGCTCTTGTTAAAAAGGTGAAAAACCAGCCCAAACGCATAATGTAAAATTTTCAAATTTCAAGTTAAAGGACATCTAAGAAGTTTTCACGATCACCCTTATGAACTCTGCTTGGCTTAGAAGCAATCACATGGAAAGAAGGAGAACTCAGAGGCTCTAAGGTAGGATTTCACATACAACAAAACAAAAAAAATGAAGTAAGAATTCATGGTAACTGCTGAGCGGTGGTGGCGCACGCCTTTAATCCCAGTACTCAGGAGGCAGAGGCAGGTGGATCTCTGTGAATTTGAGCCAGCCTGGTCTGCAAGAGCTTGTTCCAAGACAGGCTCCAAGGCTCCAAAGAAACCCTGGGGGGGGGGGGATAAGATTATATAACCAGAACAGACCAAATGCAAAACTAAAATTGTACAAATATTACTAGGGTGAGAAACTGTATAAACTCGGCTGTGTGTATTTCTACACAGCTCCTTAATTCAGCCAGTCACTCTCTCCAAGCAGGTATTCTTCCCCACCATAAAGGCAACTTAAATGTTTCTAATTCTGAAAGGAAAGTGCCTTTCTCACCTGTAACTAAAAAAGCAAACTTCCTAACAGAACTCTCATTTCTCAGAATTTCAATTACTTGTTCCACTCTGTATCTAGAACTCAGTGACTGGTTTTTGTTTTTGTTTTGTTTTTTTTTAATTTTCTTTTTTTTTTTTTTTTGTTTTTTGCTGTTATTGGTTGTTTTGTGCATACAC